ATGGATGGATAAATTCACTATGCTTCTGAAGACTGATGTGGTCAAGAGTCTATCACCCATCATGGCCACTAAGAAAGAATTCTAGCAATGATGGGGATAGGGAAATTTGCTTATTGAACTGCTTATTTTAAGCTGGGCATGATGGCACATGCCTGTAATCCCAGCAGCTCAGGAAGCTGAGACAGGAGGATCTTGAGTTCAAAGCCGGTCTCAGCAAAAGTAAGGCACCAAGCAACCCAGTGAGAGCCTGTCTCTTAAAAAAAAAATACAAAGTATGGCTGGGGATGTGGCTCAGTGGTCTAGTGTCCCTTAGTTCAATCCTTGCCCCCTCCAATACCTATTATAACAACAATATCCTCAATAGTTTTTGAACGTCTTCTTTCTATATGCTAGGAACTCTGTATATCATACCTCATTTGATCATGACATTCTTATAAATTGGCATCATTATTCCATTCTACAGATGAGGAGACTCAGATGAAGTATCCTATGATAAGTCACATAGCTTGCAAGAGCAAGAACTGAGACTTACCTAGTCTCCGAGCTCTCAAACTTCATCTCTTTATCATTAACATGTGATATATAACATGGTCTCTCTTGAAAGGTCACTGTTCAGGCCTTTACTGTGTCTATCTTGTCTATCCCTTGTGGAAATTTCTGATAGGTTAGGAAAGTTTCTGTGCAAAGTGATGATTGTATAAACCCCCTATCAAAGCTCTTCCCCTGGACCTCACCCAACGACCCACAGCACAAGGCTTTCAGGATCCTCCCTCGTGGGCTGCCTCAAAACTCTCCCCACCTTAGAGGAAAATTCTAAACGATTAAGAAAAAGAAGCATAAAATGTTGCAAACGACAAAGGTGAGGAGATTCTGCATCTTCTTTTCCCTCTAAGAATAAAGTACGCAAAGTAGAAAGGCTGAGGCCTAAACATTCAATTAGTGCAGAGCCATCAGAAAGCCAACCATGAAGCAAGTGCAGCTGGACCTGCTGCTTTCTGGGTAAGAGGCATTCCACTTCTCCTGATGACAGCTTGCAGAATTTTACCAAATGTTGCATAGTTGTTGTATTTAGGGGTTTCATTCCAATCCAAGTAGAAAATAAAGAAAAATTTTACTTTTTTTGGGGGGGGGGCATTACTACATCAAAATACTTCTCTAACTTCCTTCCTGTACTCCTTTCTCTGCTCTGACAGAGACACCAGATGGGAATGATGTGGTATCATCTTCCAGCTCTACATCTTGCCATAACTGACCGGTTCAGAAGTAGGCACCACAGCTGGCCATTTAGAAACTACCCTGACAGATTTGGACTTGCGACCAGGAGATTTCAGTTCTCCCCACTGGTCTCTTGAGTAATAGAAATGTAAAAATTTAAAGCTGTGTTTCAAAATGAGAGATGAGCTGGGGGCGGGTGGCACATGCCTGTAATCCAAACAGCTCAGGAGACTCAGGCAGGAGGATTTCAGGTTCCAAGCCAGCCTCAGTAACTTAGTGAGTCTGTAAGCAACCTAGAGAGACCTGTCTCTAAATAAATAAATAAATAAGAACAAAAAGGACATGAAAAGGTTCTCACTATCATCCTTAATTAGGCAAATGCAAATCAAAACCACAATTAAATACTATTCCGCACAAATACACACACACACACACATTTAAGCATATATGTACATACATACACACACACACACACACACACACACACATATATATATATATATATATTTAAAGGAATAAAATCTATAAGGATATGAAGAAATGGAACACTTGTTCTTTGCTAATGGAAATGTAGAATTGTATAATCACTATGGAAAACAGTTTTATCACTGCATACATTTGTTTCTATTTTTGTTTTTAAGATTGTCTGTACAGGGAAAACAAAGTCAGAGAAAGAACAGCCTTCCATTTCCAGGATCATTCCTTTTTTTTTTTTTTTTTTGGAATCAGTCTATATTCCTATTTGAAAATCTTTAATTTTTGTATTGATCCTTATGTAAATAAAACATTTTGCTCTTTTTCTCAAAGTAGCTCAAGTTAAATTCTGTCATTTGAACCTAAATACTGTTAACTAACTAACTTAGGTAGCTTTTTAACAAGTTTGTGGTTTGGGAGACTGCTCATCTTCTCTTGGTAAGTGTTAGCAAGGGCCCCAAACCAAGGGCACCTCAGAGCAATTCCACACTTCACTTAACTTGTGTTCCTAGAGGAGTAAAGTTGTAGTCATTTGCTAGTTTTGCTTTTGCAGAGGACTAAGGACACTCTCAGAATCCCACTGAAGCAGAAACACTGAATCATCAATATCTCTGGGTATAACATTTGGGGTTGACTCCCCTTAAGGGAAGCCACTCAGTCAGCGATAATCTAGCAAGGACCTGGGGAATTGGATGAGTGTCTGAGATTTGTGCAAGGGTTTCTAGAGCTAATTTTATCTCCGGGATCATATGGAATTGACAGGCTAAAGGGGTATGAGCCAACTCCACTGACTATCTGGGGTTTTTCTAAGGAATGGGAAGAATTCTTGTACAGAATTATGTAATGGATCATAGTCAGTAAGAGAACATCAGGCAGAGTCTGATAACATTGTAAGGTGATTATTACCAACCCAAACATAATATATGCTTAAGAAATAATCTTCCAAACTATACAATAAGCACCTTAGGATATTTCCTTTAATCCTGACATAATCATGCAAAATAGAATAATATTATTGTTATGATTTATATCTAAAAATGTCTCCCCAAAAGTTTGTATGTTAGGCAACTGGCAATGTTCAGAGGTAAAAATAGAGGATAATGAGAGCTGTATCCTCATCAGTAGGTTAATCTAGTTGATGGAAAATTATCTGAATGGACTACAGGGTGGTAACAGTAGACAAATGGGGAGGAAGTGAACATGTGGCCTCAGATTATATATGTCCCTGGTCCCTTCCCCTCTTCCTGCTTCCCAACCACCACAGCCTTCTGTCATGCTCTCAGGCCCAGAGAACTGGACTCAGTCAACCATGGAATGAACCTCGGAAACTCTGAGCCCAAAATAAACATTTCTTCATCTCAGTTGTTCTTATCATGTAATTTGGTTACGGTAATGAAAAGCTGATTAACACAATTATTATTCTTTCCAATTATAGAAGAGGAAACTGAGACAGTAGTCAGGAACTCATGCTGCAGCTCATTAGTTAATATTTGTTAAGCCCATCCTCTGTCATCTATTCACAGATCAACAGTGACTTGGGAGCTATTTTGAGTTCAGTTCCTGGACTGGCTTTTGCTGGTTGGGTAGACTGGGGACATGGACATAAATAGTTTTCTTTTCTATAATAACTATTCCTACCTGGAAAGGGTGTGGAGAAAAGGTAACTTTTGTACACAGTTGATGGGAAATTAGGTTAATACAGCCTTCACAGAGAACAGTATGGAGCTTTTTAAAGAAATTAAAAATAGAAACACCATAAGACTGTAGGCATTGTGAACATAGAAATATACAGAGAAGTGCTGGAATTCTGATCATGAAAATACACAGGGAAAAACGTTCCTCTAGTGAGCAAACTCCCTGGGGGTAACAGGCACTCTGTTTCCCATGCTTGGAATGCTCGACAGTTTCTCCTAGAAGCTATTAAGATAACTAATACAGGTGCAGTCTTTAGTTGCTATGGTAATAGTCTTCATGAAGAGGCTCTGTGCTAGAGTCTTATCAGCCTGGACCTTGATTTCACACATTCAGCTTTGGGAAAAAAGGAATACTAAATAATAATGTAGTTATGGCCCTAATGACCTATGTAACCTATTGATATAAATATAGCAGTTAGGCCACTCTGCCATCTTTCTTTCCTGCCTCTGCATCTTGTCTCTGTGTCTCTTTTTATTTTCCTTACATAAGACCTAAAAACCTTCCTTTGGATCTGAAATGTAAAAGAACCAAAGTAATACCATTTTGTTCTGACCTGACTCCATCTTATGCTTGCTTAAAATGTTTTCTTTTCAGCATCCTGAAAAGCTGTATCTACGTTGACAGTACATTTGGACCTTCCTGTGGCCCTGATGAAGGCCCCGAAGTATAACAAAATGACTCTGAAGTGTCTAATTAAAACCATTCTCTCATGTAATCAAAATATGTCTCAACAGGGTCTTTCTGAAGTACATCCTTGTGTTTTTTTGTGAGTTTTGCCTTAATAAACTCTGTACTTCCAAAATTCAAGTGCTGGGAGTTCTTTGAGTCACTAGCCTGCTCCCAGTCGCTTGCCTGGCTTGCTCATTAAAGGACCTTTTACCCCTTTCAATTTGACTCAATAAGCATGGTGGTCCATAACACTTGTGCACTCCGTAACAGAGCATATGACCAAAAGAAATGAGATCACCACCTCATGAAGACATCTGCATTCCCATATTCACTGAAACAATGGTCAAGATACAGAAACAACTTAAGTGTTCACTGATGAACAAATAGAGTGATACAGATAGAGAGATGATAGATGATAGATAGACGTCACTCCCTGTAGAGAGAGATATATCTACAGATTTGTATACACATATATGTACATATATACAACTGAATATTATTGAACCCTACAAAAGAACAAGATCCTGCCACATGTAGTTGAACCTAGAAGACGTGATGCTAAGTAAAATAAGACACAGACAAAAATATTGTATGATCTCACTCATATGTGGAATCTTTAAGATGATAAATATGCAAAGATAGAGAACAAAACTGAGGTGGGAAATAGGAGATATAAATCAAAGGATAGAAACTAGTACATATGTAGTATGAATAGTCTAGAGATATAACGTAAAACCTGAGGACAGCATGTTTTTTAAACATGAGTAATAAAATTGTACTAGATATGGAATCATGCTCAATGAGTAGATTTTAACTGTTTTGCCATAGAACAAAAGAGTGGTCAATTTTGTAACACAATGGATCTGTTCTTTCCTTGCATATACCCACACACACACACACACACACACACACACACACACATATTCCACAAAATCAAGTTGTGTAGGTTAAATACAAATAATTAAATTTATTTTAAAAAATAAGTCTCTCAGGTATAGTAGCCCTTACCGCCATATATTTGCACAGGGAGTATAGCAACATGGTTATTAAAAAGACCTGACAGCACCAGTGAAAGGATCACTAAAATATATGTATGTCAAAGACAGGTCATAATTGACCACTAAATAGAGGGGTCCTAGGAAAAGAGACGGAAAAATACCATCTATCAGGTAAAGCCACATCTTGACATAACTAGTGGTATCTGCCATTGGTAATAATCAATGTGTGAGACCAGAGTTCCAGGAGAAGCAGTAGGGAATCACACAGGTAAACAGAAAAAAGTGGCACTGGAATCCAGAAGGGTAGGAAATTGAACAAGGCCAGTGACCACTACAGAGAGGTCTGGCCATGCCAGGTCTGCTGGATCCGTAGGGTAACTTGAGTGCAGGGACCACGGTGGTCTTGTTAACCATTCACACTGCTTCCCCAGAGCCCAACGATGCCCATTCCTATAGCACTGGTTATGATTTGTTCTCTCCCTGTCTACTCATCCACGCCTCCAGCCACATCACAGCCTATCCAAGGCTAACTTGCGTTCAGGGCCAGCTTCACAGAGGCACACAGTGCCACTGGTTCCAGTCACAGGGCATGGGGACATGATGCAGATTGTGACTCATTTTCTGGATGATTTTGTTGGCTCTGTCCGTATGGTTATACACAGGGAAGCCAAGCTTCTCCTGAACCTGGACGTGGACGTGAGTGACGTAGGAGATGAGGCCTTGGCCCCGGTACTCAGGCACAGTGCCTCCCATTCGCATCTCCCCCGTCTGGTCCATCAGGGCCCATGACACAGGCGTCCCTTCAGGTCCCAAAAGACAGGTGCTGGGAAAGGTCCGGATACAGCGCTCAATGAATCTCTGGCTTCTTTCATTGCCACCAAAATGCCAGAATTTATTCACCACAGCAGCGTGGGTCACATCCAGTGATGAGAGTTTAAACATCTCATGGTTACTGTTGAGAAAAGGGGGAAGAGAATAGTCCATAATATTGCACACTGAGAGGCATTAAATTTGTTTCCCAAAAATTATATTGAGAGGCATATAGGAACAGAGGTGAAGGCACAGTCTCAGCAGCCAGACTGGGTTAGTAATCTGACTAGCTGTGCAATCTCATGCAGGAAACAATGTCTCTCTGCCTTTATTTCTTCTAACATAAAATGAAGATATTAATAACATGCTGTCAAAATGCAGAAATAAATATTATAAGAGCTATTGCATGGCAAGTACCTAGGATAGTGCCACACACAATAAAAATTCCACAAAAATTTACTATTATTCCCCTCAACATTGCTGTGACTCTCCACTTAAGATGGAGCGGATGATATCATCCCTATTTTACAGATCAGAAAAGTGGATAAAAGAAAATAAATGAGAGCCCCAAAGCACCTGCTAGCAAAAGTAAAGACAGAGCCATGAAATCTTAGCCATCAGGGTCCTTGGCCACCATGTTGAATGCATGGAAAAACTGAAGTCCAGAGAGGGGCAAAAATATGAGGTACAGATAGATCCTGTTGGGGATTACTAAAGTCTGAAGACCCCTACAATGGTTTAAAGAGGCTTCAGGAGACATCCTGGAAACAGCCTGGTGAGGCTAGAAGATCTAGAAGATCCAAGCTTCAGTTACACCCAAACATGTGGTGAGCAAGCCACTTAAACATCGGAGTCCGCTCTCTCAGGAAGTAGGAATAACATCTCCTACTCTAACTACGTTGCGAGGTAGACAGAAGGACCCAACACAGTGCTAGTTTCTAGACTTTACCATATGCATAAGGCTCTTCCAGGCATATAAACACACACAGAGCCATGGGATGGGTGATCTGCAGATTAAATTCTCATCATCAGTTACCTTTGCAATGGGTGGAAGAAAATATGTAATATATTTAGATTCACATTATTTGGAAACATTTTCTGCTTGAAAGTCGATTCATCAAATGAATATTTTAATAAGAATCCACTATGTGCCATATGATATTCTGGCTATTGAGAATCCATCAGTGAACAATATAGAGAAGATCTCTGTTCTAAATATCATGAGGAGGCAACGAACAGGGAGCTAGATACACCAGTAAACTGTTTTCAGGTAATAGCAAGTCCAATAATGAAAATGAACATTGGGTTTTATCCTAAAGAATTACCATGGGGCAAGAGTTTTATATGAGGTGCTCATAGGAAACTGTCAAAGGAAATAAAATTTGAGAGTATGAGAAGCAAAATTAAAAAAACATAGAGATCTGAGGAAGGATGTTTGAGCAGGCAAAGAGGTAGTTCAGTGATGCAGAGGCAGGAGCAAGAGCATGAGGTCAAGTGGCAGAAGGAAGGCCAGGGCTGCTGAGTGAGCAGCAAGGTCAAGGTGACATCCAGGAGGTGAGGGTGCAGGTCTTGTGGGGTCTATAAAGTTTGCATTTTGTTCAAGATGAGGTGAGAAATGGTGGCTTTTAAGCAGGTGATCATCCAGGAGAGGGACTCTGGGAGGTGAGAGAGAACGCAGGGAGGGAGGTTGGAAGACACTCTAGTGACATGTGAGCAGTGCAGAGAGAGCATCTTTAATCACACTCACTTGATCTGGGGTCCCCCAGATTCAGGACGTAAGTTCTTTGTATCCACCAGGAAAGGCACCAGTTTCCTTGCTGTCTGAGGCATCATGTACAGAATGCACTGTGTTCTCTTGACCTGGACCAAGTTAGCAGCAGCAAGACTTTGTATCACCTCATCCAAGCTGGACTGTGAACCTAGGAGGGAGGAAGGAAGGAGAGAAGTAGCGATGTGCAAGGTATAAGAAGAGGCCCAGAGGAACCATGCAGGATTTAGAGTGAGTCACTCTTGGCTTCTGGTAATGCCACCAAGAGTATGACATGGCCAAGTCACTCCCTGGAGCAGGTTTTCTCTTATACAAAAAAAAGCACCAGAAATACTGGCTGTTACTCTGAAATCAAAGGAGAAGGGGTACATAATTCATAGTAGCCTATTTTGACTGTGCATTTGCTATATGCCCAGGAATTGGTCTTCTAGTTCATTTAGCCCTTTACACTGACCCTGTGTTTTAGGTTCCTCATTTTCACTTATGAGGAAACTGAGCAATAGTTACATTATATCACTTTAAAGATCACAAAGCAGGAGGCAGAGCAAGGATGCACCCTTTGGAGTCTGACTCTAGAGGGCATGTTCATAACCACAGCCGGTGTCCTCCTTGGTGACCTGGGAGCTTCTCTATGGCACTAGGAGCTTCATTCTTATTCCAGGAATGGAAGACCAGAGGGCAACCTCTGCTCTCACACCCAACATCCTGAGGACTGCTGAATACGTTGCAAAATGTATCTTGAATCTTCAGCTTACAAGAAATTACCTTACTCAGAGTTACTAATAACAACCACATAGTGCACAATATTTGAATTCTACTCCCCTGCAGAGGTGGTGACAGTCAATACAAGCCGTGGACACTAGGCATGGGGGAAGGAAGGAAAGGCTATATGGGAATGTTCTCAGGGTGGAAAGTGGCCCAGAGGTAGACATGGGGGTCTAGCAGCCAGCACACACCCAGCCCCCTTACTTTGGATTTGTAAATGTTGTTTCCAGGTAATGACATCTGAGGAGACGAGCGATTCTTGACAGCTCTTGAGCTCCTTAGAATAGATTTGGTAGGTGTTGGTGTAGTGATCAAGGTCATCTGTCATGTCCTGTTTGGTTGGGCAACAGGGAATAAACCAGATTGTTTATACCAAGAGATCTCAATATTTGTGTCTAAAATTCCCCTCTATTGTTATATTATAAATTTAATACAGACATTTTTTGCACATATTATCACTACTTTTCTCAATCATGTACATCGCGATACCAAGTCGAGGATTCTATTCAAATTCATGTTTAAAAATTTCTGCTAAGCCAAAAATGTTCCATTACAATTTGAACCAACCAAAGCTGCCCTAGTTCAAGAAACATTTTTTTTCTATAATTTTGCATTCTTCGAGGAGAAAGACAAAAAGTGATTATTGTCAAAGGCAAGTTTCAGTTACAAGAGTAAATCTTACTCTATTTTAAACAGCCTCAGAACAAACATTTTGAATTTGATAGTATTTAAATTGGCACAGGTAACCTTGTATTAGAATTTTTAACTCTATGTTGTAAAACTATACAAAATGAGCACGCATTGTTCTCAAAATATAAATCACAAAGCATCATTGTTATAAACAGTTTGCCTTCCTAACAAAATGAAAACACAACATTTATCCAAAAAGACCTTCTCAAAGTTAGCAAATGAGAATTGAGATTATCTGAAGGTGAAGGAAGGACCAGAGAACAAATCCCTGGCGCATGCAGAGCAGGTAGAAAACTTCAAACAGAAGTGATTCACCGTTTGATAATAAAACTATTGACGTTCACTGTTTCTAACATAACATTTAAAAAGCAAATATTATTCCATGGCTAGATATTAATAATTTAAATTTCTTGGGGTTTTTTGTTTATTTTCTGTGTCATTTGGTGGTGTTTTTATAAAAATTCTGTGTTTCTAGGTTTACAACATGATCTGATAGTATGATATAACTAGCAAAATGCTTATTATACTGAAACAAGTTAGCAGATCCTTCATCTCACAGAATTACCATTTTTCTTTGTTTCTGTGGGAATAGCAGCTCAAATTTACTAAGTTAGCAGAAAGTACAGTAAATGTTATTGCTTTCATTCTTCTTGTTGCACATGAGGTTATCTAGTGCTGACATTCTACATACCAGCCACATTGAGTCTTTTGGCCTGTCTCCTCCCACCCCCCAGCACCACCACCACTTAGGACCTGGTTAACCACTGTTGTCTTCTCTGGGTCTGAATGTTTTAAAAGATTCACATATAAGTGAGATTATTCATTTTTATTCTTTGTGTGATTGGTATATTTCACTTAGCATAATGTCCTCCAGAGTCACCCACATTATGGAAAATGCAAGGATCTCTTTTTTAAGAGATCTAACATTTTGTTACAAATATTACTGTTTTAACAATGGGACTACATACATAACAGAAAATTTCATATAATATAAATATGTGTGTGTGTCATATAGCTGTCCACAGATTCCTAGTTTTTCCATGTCTTGTCTATTTTGAATGGTTCTGCAATAAATATGAAAGTGCAGACATATTTACAAGGTAGTGATTATTTTTCTTGGAATACATGCCCAGAAGAAGGATTGCTGGGTTAAATTTTTATATTGAGGTGCTTTTCTTGTATGCCTGAGTTGTTGAGAGTTTTTGTCAAAAAAAAAAAAATATGCTGGAATTTGTCAATTTTTTTCCTCATCAATTGCAATAGTCATGTGGTATTTAATTTTCATTTTGTTATTATGGTATTTCATATTGACTGTATGTATTTTTTTTAATTTTTTATTGTGGGTTGTTCAAAACATTACAAATTTCTTGACATATCATATTCCACACTTTGATTCAAGTGGGTTATGAACTCCCACCTTCACCCCATACACAGATTGCAGAATCACATCAGTTACACATCCATTGATTTACATATTGCCATACTGATTGTATGTATTAAAGCAGCCTTGCATACCAGGGATCAATCTGACTGTCACAGTGTATGATCTCTTGGATATATTGTTGAATTTCATTCGCTAATATTTCACTGAGAATTTTTGCATCAGTCTTCAGCAAAGAAAATGGCCTTTCATTTCCTTGGGATGTATTTTTCCGGCTTAGGTATCAAAGTGATGGCACCTTCATCTATGTATACTCCTGAACAATTTGTTGCAGTTTTAGTTACATTTTATTGTTTTGACTTTTTAACCTTCATATTAGAGATCAGTAAGATTCAGTATTTCAGTATGAGAATATTGACGTTTTCACTCTGTATTTATCTTTAAGAGTGAGTTTTATATTTCCATATGTGCTCTTTTTTAGTAGTTATTGTCTACTCATGTGTGCTTAAAAACTACTACAATTTATATTTTATATGTTATAATTTATATAAAAATAATACTATATGATTAACCTTTATATTTTTGAATGCAGGGGTTTTTTAAAGGTACTTAAATCCCAATCTTTCTTTTTTTATTTTTTACATATTTTTGTTGGTGCATCATAATTGTACATATGGATGGGATTTGTTGTTACATATTCATACATGCACAAAATATAGCAATATAAGTCGGTCAGTATCACTCCCCAGTCCTTCCCCCTCCCTCCCTGTTTTCCACTCCTGGGTCCCTTTCCTCTACTGATCTCCCTTTAGTTTTTAGAAGATCCACCCCCACCTTTGTTTTCCTTTTTCCTCTCTATCTTCCACATATAAGAGAAACACAGGACCCTTAACCTTCTGTGTTTGACTTGTTTCACTTAACACAATTATCTCTAGTTATCTATTTTCCTGCAAATGCCATAATTTCATTTCTCTTTATAGATGAATAAAGCTCCGTTATGTGTATATAGCACATTTTCTTTATCTGTTCAGTAATTGATGGACATCTAGGTTAGTTTCATAATTTGGCTGTTAGTTGTGCTGCTATAAACATGGGTCTGCATGTATTACTGCAGTAACATGACTTTAATTCTTCAGGATAAATGCCAAGGAGTGGCATAGCTGGTCATATGGTGGTTCTATGCCTAGTCTTTTGAGGACCCTCCATTCTGATTTCCATAGTGGTTGTACTAACTTACAGTTTCACCAACAGTGTAAAACATTCCCTTTTCTCCACATTATCTCCAGCATTTTTATTGTTTGCATTCCTGATGACTGCCATTCTCACTGGTGTGAGATGAAATCTCAGTGTAGTAAAACCTAATCCTCCTTACTGTGCATAAAATATATTTGCATTTGAAGTATGTTCATCATTTGGGGTGATTTTGAAAGATCTGGTATTGATGATTTAATATCCATGTATAGATATTGTAAACTTATATTCCCATATCATTCTTCATATTTAACCTCACATATTTTCATCAGATTAGAATGTGCTCCCCACCAGCTCTTGTCAGCTTCTTAAAACCTATTAAACATCAAAATCCAGTTTTGGTAAAATAGCTACCTGGAAGCCTCCCCACCTCCCAGGACTGAGGATTAAACCCAGGGCCTTGCACATACTAAGCAAGTGCTGAGTCAAATTCCCAGACTTCCTGGAAGTCTTTTTGACCCTCTTCTTACTACCTCTGAAATCACTGGTTTTAATCAAATTTCACTCAGTGCTACTTCTGTTATCTAAAGTATAATTTTAACACAAAAACAACTCCCTACAACATAAGTGCTCTTGTGTGCTCTTGAACATTTTCACACCACATTGCAATTCTTCTGCTTTTCTGTTTTCTCTGTGACCTCCTTGAGGACAAGACTGTTTCCCTGGGGTCCACCATACTTTCTTCCAGGTTCATGTCACACACACAGCAAATACAAACACAGAGTCATTTTCATTCCACCCCAGAAAACTTACCTGCTCCTGAGGGCGCACAACTACTGTGTTAAAATCTGGCCATTTGTCCACCAAGGCCTTTAGCTTGAATGGGTTCCCCTGGTTTATGTGGAAGACAGTTCCATAGACCTACAACGTTTCAACAAAGCAAGAGTCAGCACATTACAAAGGAACAGCCAAGTGCCTTGTTTAACCACAACAAGCCTTATTCCTAGGAATCAGTGTTTATAACTAATAGAGCATGGACTTCAGTCTTCAGGTTGTGTTTTATTTCTAGTAAGAACCAAATATGTTTTTGTATGAAATGCTGAGAATATTATACTTCAATGTGTGTATATAAGTACATATAGCCAAATATACAGATAAAATAAATTAACAATCACTCATACATTACTGAACTTATCCTTACATTCTTTCTATTTTCATCCATACATTTAAGTATGTTTATAATTTTATGTGATGAAATCACTTAAAATATATTAATTTAACATATATTTTCCCCACATACACTATATATAGTGTATGTATTTCCATGTCAATATGCAGAAATCTCCATGATCATGTTTCATGAGTACATGTTTATTAGACAGAAGGACCGTAATTCAATTTTCCTACCTCTTATTGTTGGTCATTTCAGTTTTCTCTGACAATTTAGGTTAGTTCTTCGAGGAAGATTTTTTATTAAATCTTTGAAAATATGCCTATTGTTACAAATTTCATATGAGGAAATTTCTATGTCAAAGGTCACATGCCACTTAAAGATTTAAGAGAGGTTAACTGGCCTTCTATCTATTTAATCCTGTGAGAGCATGGCGCTCAAATCATGAGCTTTGGTGACTAATAATGTCCAGGAACATCACACACTGCACAATCAGTTTAACCTTCTCTAGAATCATCTATTCAAGCATCAGTGCCCTCAATAGGAACATAAAAGAAATTGAGAAAGACATCCCCAAACTGGAAGAAGTTACAGCAGAGAGGTCCTCAGGACTTAAGTACAGCTAGGACATGGTACCTCAGAAGGTGGAATGGAAAGTCACCAAGATCAAAGACCATGGAATGATGAACCTTTCAATATCCAAGGACCAAACCTAATCCTGAGATTCCCTACCCTTCCCTTAAAATGTTTATATGTTCTCAGTTTATACCAGAGTATGAAATTCCCTGTCAACAGTAGAAGCTCAATATAGAAGTTATATATAGTTTGGGGGGAAATAAAGAGGTTATCTTTTTTTAACATTAGAATTTGGAATGACGGATGTTCATATACACAACAAATTACAGATATAAGGGCAATTACTTCTCCTTTCTTTCCCTATAGCAACCCCCAAATTGAATAACTTAGAGTTGGTAAGTAAGATAAACCTATTCAGTATCCACCATTTAGGAAATAGGCCACAATATTCGTTTTCCTTTTTAGCAGAGATTTTAGTGGATGTATAGTGGGAATATCTACCAAAAATATTGACTTTCTGGTTTTACTTATTTTACATGCAATAACGCAGAGACTCAGAGCTGTTTAACTTTTGCAAGATTGCCCAGCAAATAGTGAATTTGCTGGATCAAAGAAGTCTGACTCTGGACCTTGCCCTCTTGTTAGCTGCTCTATAGTACCTCCCTCAGATCAGTGACTTGGGGTTACCCAAAGCTACTGTGGCATAGTCCATAAGTGATGTCTATACAGGATATCAGAGCACCAGGAAAAGGTAACAAAGAACATTATATCGTTCCTACCAGGTTTCCCATCAGGAAGATCAGTATGTAACTATACTAAACACATCATCCTTATTTTACCCAAAAGATTCCAAATATGTGAGTCACTAACAAAATAAAATGTAAGCTAACAAGGATCTATACTCAATTCTCTTAGTTCTTAGGGTTTTTTTTTTTGTGTGTGTGTATGTGTTTGTTATACATATAGTAGTGAATATGCTATTATAAATTGCAATTATTTTTAATTCCAGTTGTTCATTGCTAGAATATATAACTAATATCTGTTGTTTTGTTGACTTGAATTCTGTTAAACTAAACTGAATTATAGCTAGAAAATTGTATTGCATATTTCTTAATATTTTGTACATTAGCCAATCGTGACCTCTGTGAATAGACTATTTTATTGGCAAGGACAATAGTGTCACACTGAATAGAAGAAGTGAGGGTGGACATTTGTGCCTTGCTAACACCTTAAGGGAAATACTCAGTCTTGACTACTTAGTAGGATATTAGTGGTGACTTTTGCCCATATGCTTTTTATCAGGATGAAGGAATTCCCTTTTATTCCTAGTTCACTGAGAATTCTGTGTTTATCAGAAATATTACGTATTATCAAACACCTTTTTTGTACCTTTAAAAAAAAAGATCCTATGTTTTTTCTTCTTTAGTTTATTGATATGTTGATATAATAGCCTACATTGATTGCTGGATGGATTTTTTTTATGGTACTGGGGATGAAACCTAGGGGTGCTTTACCATTGAATTACACCCCCAGTCCTTTTTTGAGACAAGCTTATTAATTTGGCAAGGTGGGTTTCCAACTTGCCCTCTGCCCACCTCGGCCTCCTGAGCCACTTGTATAACAGGCATGTGTGAACACACCTGACTTCATTGATTGATTTTTGAACGTTGAACTAGTCTTGAATTTTTTTTTAATTTTTATTGTTGGTTGTTCAAAACATTACATAGTTCTTGATATATCATATTTCACACTTTGATTCAAGTGGGTTATGAACTCCCATTTTTACCCCGTATACAGATTGCAGAATCACATCAGTTACACATCCATTGATTTACATATTGCCATACTAGTGTCTGTTGTATTCTGCTGCCTTTCCTATCCTCTACTATCCCCCCTCCCCTCCCCTCCCCTCCCCTCTTCTCTCTCTACCCCCTCTACTGTCATTCATTTCTCCCCCTTGTATTATTTTTCCCTTAGTCTTGAATTTTTAAAGATAAATTCATTTGGGTTACAATGTTACTTTTTTAACACTGCTGTATTTGACTTAGTAGTATCTTGTTGAGAATTTCTGCATCTGTGTTAATGATGGATGTAGTTCTGTGATTTTCTTATAATATCTATTTCCATAGATATAAAAGGAACTTGGAGCTGTTCTTCCTACTCTGCTTTATCCTGAAGGGTTTAGTGTAGAATTAGCATTATTTCTTCCTTGTATGTGTGGTAGAGTTTGCCAGTGAAGTCATCTTGATGAGGAAATTTCGTTGTTATAATGTTCTCATTTATAGATATGGAGCAATTTAGGTTGGTGATTTATGCTTTTTACAGAATAAATTGCAAAATGCCTGAGTACAGTGTTCATAATAGTACATCTTTATCATGATTATAATATCTATTCAGTTTGTAGTAATGTCCCCTATTTCCTTCCTGACATTGATAACTATGTCTTCTCTGTTTCTTGGTCAGTTTGATCTTCATATTATCAACTATATGGAACTTTCCTAAGCACAAGATTTTGGATGTACTAATTTTTTTTCCTGTTTTTCTCCTCCATTCACAATTGTTAATTTCTGAATTTTTTCAATTTCCTTCATTCTGCTTTCTAAGGGGTTAAATTCCACCTAGTTGTTTCAAATTTCTAAGGTAGAAACTTGAACCGTTGAGATGAGAGGATTAATTTTTTTTTGTTTAAGTAGGTAATGCTGCATATTTCCCACTTGTCCATGCTTTAGTTGCATCTCACAAATTGTTATATCTTGCATTTTCATTTTCATTCAGTTATTACACTCTAATTTTCTTTGTGAGTTTGAAGCATGGTTTTGTTAGAGGTGTGTTTGAGTCATTTGAAGAAAATTGAAGAATTGAGGAAATATTCACTTTTTAAATTTTATTATTGTAATTATTCCATTATTATATCATGTGATTTTAATTATTTAAAAAATGTGATCTATCTTGGTAAATATTCCATGAGCACTTGGCCAGAATATGTATCCTGCTGTTGTTGAAGAAAATATTCTTTCAGTGTCAATTAGTTCAGTATTACTTATGTCTTCAATATACTTACGGTTTCCACCTCTTTTGTATTTACTGAGAGAAGAGTGGTAGTTTATCTGTTTTTTTTTCTACATGTCTATCAGTGATTATCTCATGCATCTAGAGTTTCTGTTAGTAGGTATGTAGATTTCACTCATTTTCCTGTCTTTGTGGTGAATTAACATCCTTATCATAATACAAAGGCACTCTTTAACCCTAGTAATATTCCAGTCCCTTGGCAATATATGTTACTGCAGAAAAACTTCTATGTGCAAGATCACTGATTCATTTTTCTTGCTCACTGCATATAATCATCAGGGATTTGACAAAACAGGAATTGATTTCTTATTAACATTAAAGAAGAATCATAGGGTTGATGTCTTACCAGACACATGATTTTTTAGGAAAACAAATTAAACATTAATGTGTTCATTTCAGTCAACTTTGCAACTCTGGAAAACTTCCAGTGTTATGTAACACAATTCTTGCAAGAGTACATAGGAATGACTTTGAGTCATCACATAGCAAAGATATATGAGATTCAAGTCACAGCATTGCCACTATTGGTGTGGTCTCCGTCAAGACATATGCCTGAGTCTCATTTCCTCTTCAGCTCCATGGATTTAATAGACCTGCCTTGCTTCAGGGTGATGGGAACTAAATCAGTGGCCACAGAGCAAGTGGCTGGCACATCACAGGTGCTCAGTGAAGGCCCCTTTTTTTCCCCACCTCATTCTTAGGCTGTAGATGGTCTTACATCCCCCCCCCAGACAATGTTCCACCCTCACCTTTAAGGACTCGGGGAGGCTCTTCCTTAAGGACTTCTCTAGCATCTGCAGCATCTGTGGACTTTGCAAAGGAAACATCTTGGCAGGAACTTTAAGCTAAAGAAAAGATTGAGAAACATCAAGGAATGAGAAGAGCTGGAAGACCCGGACACAGCAGGCAGTTCTAGTTAATGTCGTGAGCTACATTCCTGCTGTTCCAATGATGCCTATTCACTAACTCCAAGAAAGAATGGGGCTGGTAGAAAGTACAGATGCCACTTTCTGAATTACTATGACCTTCTAAGCTTTTAAAAGTATTTATGAACATTTGTTTTCATTTTTATACCACCCTCAATTCCAACAATTAAGAATGCACTGAGATTAACAGATCTATTCTCTAAGCACACATGAGCATCCTTTGAGATTTACCATCCACCAGTGATAAGCCTGACTCTGCCAGTTAGAAGCTGTATGATACTGAAAGTTGCTTTACTCTTCACTGGCTTCTTGATTTATTCATCTATAAATAAATGGTCATGACTATAGAATTTATTTCACAGAGCAGGTGAGACAATTAAATAATTCAATATACATAAGGAGATTGGAACTACATCTGGAACACAATAGGTGCTCAATAATTACAATTATTAATACACTTTTTATTAATTATTATTTGAATTTCACGAATCAATGTGGTACAGTGTACACAACTGATATGTAATATGGTGTATAATGATCAAATCAGGGGGATGAACATCTCCATCTGTCTTCAGCAGAAGCCACAGTCAATCCACAGTGCCATCCAAATACACTCTACAGAGTAACATTTCTTCTGTATAACTACTTGCTGCAGATTTGAATCAAATCAGAAAGGATGGAATGAGATTAAATCCATGTAAAATGGCACATAGTAAATGGGATGATGTCTTAGTATAGAGTGACTGGCTTGAGGGTGACTCAATATGTATCAGTTATTTTAATTAATACTAGCATTATTCCCTAAATAAAGCAAGTCTTCTTTGATATTAGAAACAAAAATAAAAGAAAGACAAAAAGGCTTCTCCTCTGAGACCCTACACAGGGGACCCAGTGGAGCTGTCCTCTGGTGGGTTGCCAGAGCAGCAATGAGCAAAGTCCTATAGGAGGCCCTTGGAACCTTTGACACGGTCACTCCAGTGCTTGGAACTCATCCAAAGAAAACAATGCCAATGAACAAAAATACTTTGGGGAAAACTGTATGAAGATACAAATGTCACTTTTGTGTACGTTTAGACATAACATACACAAAGATAAGAGCTTAGAAGGAAAAATCAAATAACACTGTAGGTGAAGGTTTTTTCATTACATTTATTTTTTATGGTTTTAAATTAACAACTCATCTCCTCCGTGTTCCAGTCCCCATGTGAGTATCCACCTAGTCTCTTTATGACTAAACAGGGCACTTAAATTCCCTGTACATCAGTAACCACCCTAGGTAAAGCCAACTGCCTTAGAATGCCACAGAGGATTACATAAGGTAACATTTGGGGCTGGGGATGTGGCTCAAGCGGTAACACACTCGCCTGGCATGCACGGGGCACTGGGTTCGATCCTCAGCACTACATAAACTAAAGATGTTGTGTCCACCGAAAACTGAAAAACAAATATTAAAAAATTCTCTCTTCCTCTCTCTCTCTCTCTCTTTTAAAAAAGATAATTTTGCATGGCATGTGTACACTTTGTGGCAAATAAATGCCACCTGAGCCAGCATGCTCCTTTCAGGTGCCTTTATAGTCTCTGGCTCCCACCCACTGATAGCAAGCTCCCAAATGTCTTCATATTTATTCATTAATACAGACTCAGACCTGGCTTCATCCAGTCAAGAATTTCTGACAGATCTAGCATACTGCCCTGTACATAGCAGTTATCTGAAAGTGGACTTTCCAATGAAAGAATTTCTTTTACCCCTGGAAAAATCCTCAGCCCAAATGAGCCCAGAAATTCTTATTCACATCCAACAGGAGTATTTTGTTCATCCTGCTTCAATAAGGAGATAAAAGGAGATGAGGGGGGTCTCAGATCATCAATTCTCCTTTGTTCTCACCTGAAAGCTGTCTTCTCATTCAGGCTCTGCAAACGTCTGTAGGGAAAGACAAGAGTCAGGAAACTGTTCCAGATCACGAAATATATCCTCCAAAGATGCCGGTTTTGAAAGGCACTTTGGTCTTTTTTTTTTCCAGAAATGCAGTGCTGAGGTTCCTGATAGAAACAGGCAACAAGCTGTGCACACATCTGAGATCTGAGTGTGAGGTCAAGCCCCTCCCTCCAGGTCCCATGCTCAGGGAGGTGGCTCTGTACTTGGCTGGTTAGCATTGTGCATTCTGAGACTCTTTTCCAGGAATTGAACTGTGTCCTGCTCCCGAAGTTCCAGCCACTACTTAGCAACTCAGCAGTTAAATCATCTGGCCAAGAGCTGGGAGCTGGCTGGGTCTCCTTCTGCACCTCTCACAGACACCTGCAGCAGAAGCAAAAGCTGGATACTATTCATAGCTGATGTTTAGAATTACAGTTCTTTTCCAACCATCAGTAAAGAAAATTATCTATTTTATTTATTTTTAATTATTTTTTAATTTGTATATGACAAAGGAATGCATTACAATTCTTATTACACATATAGAGCACAATTTTTCATATCTCTGGCTGTATGTGAAGTATAAGAAAATTACCTATTTTAGAGAGACAAGGGGATAAAGATTCTTCACTTCTTTAATGGGTTCAATGAATTCCAGGCAGGATAAACACAAAGAAAAACCCCAGACATATAATTAAACTACTGAAAACTGAATATAAAGAGAAAATTTTAAAAATAAATGAGTCATTACACAGTGAGCTAATTGTACAAATAATGACCAACATTCAGCAGATATATAATAAGGTCCAGAAGACAATAGAATGATGTTTTTTTTTAAAACACTAAAGAAAATAATCCTTAACCTAAAATTCCGTGTCAAGAAAATATCTGTTTATGTTTTGGAGGCAAAAATATAAACATTTTCAGATAAATGAAGCAGTCTGTCCTGCAAGGAAGAAAAACTGTAGGCCAAAGAGAAATGTCACTTGATGGAATCTTAAAACTACATCTGGGAAGGGAGAGAATTGAAATATGTGTTTAATATGTTTTCCTTTTGTTTCTTAAACTTCTTTTAAAAATTGATTGTTTAATTCAAGCATAATAACTGTATTCTGTAGAGTTCTGGCATCTGTAAAGAAAACTTGTTTAAGAATAGCACAAGAGGGGAAATGAAATTATTTTTATATGACTTAACATTAATTTAAGGTAAAGTGAGGTGAGAGTAACCTTGCATATTGTAATTATTAGACTAACTATTAAAAACAGATAAGAGAAATAACTTTCAAGACTCTACAAGTGATATAAAGCACTAACTGCTCCAAAAGGTGACAGGAAAAGAGAAACAGAAAACAAATGGAAAACAGTAAAATCATTTGCTAAAACCCAACCATAATAATAATTTTATTGAATTTAAAAGGGCTTAATCTTAGTATTACACAAGCTAGATATTTGAATGATGTATTCATTTTCCCACATTGCAGGGCCATAGAGTCAATGATCTCATAATTCTGTGCCCCAGAACATGGAGTTAGCAAATTCTCTATTCTTTTCATTATTTTGTAAGACGGGAAACATCCTTAGGGAAATTTTAATGAGGTGGTTAAGGCAAAGTTTGGCCAAAGGCCTCTTCATGGGTTGATTACTAATTTAACTGGATTATAATTGCTAGTCCTCAGACCCCATGACAGATGTATTGGTTCTCAATTTCCCTGAGGAATTCCCCTGCCAACAGGCACAAGACAATCAGGCACATAACACTAACAAACACATAATCAAAACTAATATTTTGTACTGGTAGACAAAAAGGAAAAATAGGAATAAAAGTCAAAGAATAAGCAGATTCATATTTGCCAAAAACACCATCCCTCAAACAATGGGCCTAATTATATTGTGTGAATACCTATTTGCTTATAATACCTAACATAAAAAATAATTCGGCAATGAAAATTCAAGGGAACGAGTCATTTTTAAAAAATTAATTACCTATAGTTACAATTGTAATGTCACAATAAAAAGGAAAAATAAATAAATTTTAAAAAATAAAATACCTAGTAATAAATATAACCAAACTATGAAAGACCTCTACAATGAAAAGTAAAAAAAAAAAACAAAAAAAAAAAACAAACTGAAGAAAGAAATTGAAGAGGACATTAGAAGATGGAAAGACCTCCTATGTTGGATAGAAAATAATATTGTCAAAATGGCCATTTTTCCAAAAATGATCTACATGTTTAATGGGATCCTCATCAAAATATCAATGGCATTTCTGACAGAATTAGGAAAAACAAAAAAAAATCACAAGGAAGAATAAAAGATCCAGAACAGCACAGCAATTCTGAACAATAAGAATAAGGCTGAAGGCATCACACTCCCCATTTTCAAATTATGCTATAGAATTATAGTAACAAGACACCATGGTGGTATTCATTTCTAGTACAATCTGAAAAAGTTACTTGTTCTCTCTGAGCTTTGGTGTCTTCGCAATGAGGATGATTCTAACAGTGTCTACCTCAGGAGAATTGCTTAAATATATATGTATAAAATGCATTTTAAATTCATTTGCTCCCTTAAAACTCTCCCTTGACTTATCTTTTCAGAGTTTCTTTTTGAAGGGCACAAGGACAGAAGCACCCCACGAAATGTTGCTGCTTCAGTGTTCCCAGGAGCTGCTGACCCTCTACAAATCCTTGTCTGGGAGCATCCCTGAATCCCTGAAGGTGAGGGAGCAGCAGAAGGTCAAGGACATGGGTATAAGGGTGTTGAGGGTGAGAAAACAGTAGACTCATAATTCTTTTCTTCCCTCCCTGACTTTCTGAAGAAGGTTATCTACAAATGAGGATGGAGTTGGGGTGAAGGAGGCCCATCTAGAGCAGCTGCTCTAGAGAATGGAGTTAACAGCATAGGTTTTGGAGCCAAGCTAAATGGGTATGCATGCCAAGTCTGCCACTTTCTAGTTGGGCAACTTTAAGCAGGTTTCTTTCCTTTGTGTGCCTTGGTTTCTTCATCTGTGAAATAGGAATATATTTACTGTGTATATGTATGTATGTGACTGTCTGACCAATGTGATTCTACAATATGTATACCCAGAAAAATGAGAAATTATATCCCATCTACGTATATCAAAGTATGTAAGTGCATTCTACTGTTATGTATAACTAACTAAAACAAATAATTTTTTAAACATCAGAAATTTATTAGTTGCTCAAAACATTACATTGATCTTGACATATCATATATCATACATTGTTTCAAATGGGGTATGAATTCTTATTATTCCCCCGTGTACAGTTTGCAGAATCACATTGATTATACAGCCACATTTATACATACTGCCAAACTAGTGTCTGTTGTATTCTGCTGCCCTTCCTATCCCCTTCCTATACCCCTCCCCTCCCTTTCCCTCCCCTCCCCTCCCCTCCCTCTACCCCATCTACCATAACTCATTTCTCTCACTCTCTCTTATTTTTTTTCCTCCCCTTCACCTCACATCCTCTTATATGTATTTTTGTATAACAATGCGGGTCTCCTTCCCTCTTCCGTGCAATTCCCCCTCTCTCCCATTCCCTCCAACCTCTCGTCCCTGTTTGATGGTAATCTTCTCATGTTCTTCCTCCCTGCTCTGTTTTGAGTTGCCCCCCTTATATCAAAGAAGACATTCAGCATTTGTTTTTAAGGGATTGGCTGACTTCACTTAGCATAATCTGATCTAATGCCATCCATTTCCCTGCAAATGCCATGATTTTGTTGTTTTTTAGTGCTGAGTAATATTCCATTGTGTATATATGCCACATTTTTTTAATCCATTCATCTATTGAAGGGCATATAGTTTGGTTCCACAGTCTAGCTATTGTGAATTGTGCTGCTATGAACATTGATGACACTGTTTCCCTGTAGTATGCTCTTTTTAGGTCTTTTGGGAATAGTCTGAGAAGGGGAATAGCTGGGTCGAATGGTGGTTCCATTCCCAGCTTTCCAAGGAATCTCCATACTGATTTCCAAATTGGTCGCACCAGTTTGCAGTCCCACCAGCAATGCACAAGTGTACCCTTTTCCCCACATCCTAGCCAGCACTTGTTGTTATTTGACTTCATACTTGCTGCCTTTCTCACTGGGGTGAGATGGTACCTAAGAGTGGTTTTAATTTGCATTTCTCTGACTGCTAGAGATGGTGAGCATTTTTTCATGTATCTGTTGATTGATTGTATATCCTCCTCTGAGAAGTGTCTGTTCAGATCCTTGGCCCATTTGTTGATTGGATTATTTGTTTTCTTATTGTTTAATTTTTTGAGTTCTTGTATACTCTGGAGATTAGGGCTCTATCTGAAGTGTGAGGGGTAAAAATTTGTTCCCAGGATGTAGGCTCCCTATTTACCTCTCTTATTGTTTCTCTTGCTAAGAAAAAACTTTTTAGTTTGAGTAAGTCCCATTTGTTGATTCTTGATTTTAACTTTTGAGCTACAGGTGTCCTATTAAGGAATTTGGAGCCTGACCCCACGAGGTGGAGATTAGAGCCAACTTTTTCTTCTATCAGATGCAGAGTCTCTGATTTGATATCAAGCTCCTTAATCCATTTTGAGTTAACTTTTGTGCATGGTGAGAGACAGGAATTCAATTTCATTTTGTTGCATATGGCTTTCCAGTTCTCCCAGCACCATTTGTTGAAAATGCTATCCTTTCTCCATTGCATGCTTTTATCACCCTTGTCTAATATAAGGTAGTTGTAATTTTGTGGATTGGTTTCTGTGTCCTCTATTTCTGTTCCATTTGTCTACCTGCCTGTTTTGGTACCAGTACCATGCTGTTTTTGTTACTATTGCTCTGTAATATAGTTTAAAATCTGGTAACTCTATACCGCCTGTTTCACTCTTCCAGCTTAGGATTGCTTTTGCTATTCTGGGTCTCCTATTTTTCCAGATGAATTTCATGATTGCTTTTTGTATTTCTGTGAGAAATACCGTTGGTATTTTGATTGGCATTTCATTAAACCTGTAGAGTACTTTTGGTAATATCGCCATTTTGATGCTGTTAGTTCTGCCTATCCATGAACGAGGTATATCTTTCCATCTTCTAAGGTCTTCTTCTACTTCTCTCTTTAGGGTTCTGTAGTTGTCATTGTATAGGTCCTTCACCTCTTTTGTTAGCTTGATTCCTAAGTATTTCATTTTTTTTTTTTGAGGATATTGTGAATGGAGTGGTTGTCCTCATTTCCATTTCAGAGGATTTGTCACTGATATACAGGAATGCCTTTGATTAATGTGTGTTGATTTTATATCCTGCCACTTTGCTGAATTCATTTACTAGCTCTAGAAGTTTCTGGGTAGAACCTTTTGGGTATGCTAGGTATAGGATCATGTCATTTGCAAACAGTGCTAATTTAAGTTCCTCTTTTCCTATCTTTATGCCTTTAATTTCTTTCGTCTGTCTAATTGCTCTGGTCAGTGTTTCGAGAACTATGTTGAATAGAAGTGATGAGAGAGGGCATCCCTGTCTTGTTCCAGATTTTAGAGGGAATGCCTTCAATTTTTCCCTGTTTAGAATGATGTTTGCCTGAGGCTTAGCATAGATAGCTTTGACAATGTTGAGATAAGTTCCTGTTATCCCTAATTTTTCTAGTGTTTTGAACATAAAGGGATACTGTATTTTGTCGAATGCTTTCTCTGCATCTTTGGAGATGATCATATGGTTCTTATCTTTAAGTCTGTTGATGTGGTGAATAACATTTATTGATTTCCGTATGTTGAACCAGCCTTGAATCCCAGGTATGAATCCTACTTGATCATGGTGCACAATCTTTTTGACATGTTTTTGAATCCAATTTGCCAGAATTTTATTGAGGATTTTTGCATCTATGTTCATTAGAGATATTGGTCTGTAGTTTTCTTTCTTTGAAGTGTCTTTGTCTGGTTTTGGAATCAGGGTGATGTTGGCCTCATAGAATGAATTCGGAAGAGCTCCCTCTTTTTCTATTTCCTGAAATAGCTTGAAAAGTATTGGCATTAGTTCTTCTTTAAAGGTTTTGTAAACTCTGCTGTATACCCATCCGGTCCTGGGCTTTTCTTGGTTGGTAGTCTTTTGATGGCTTCTTCTATTTCCTCCTTTGATATTGGTCTGTTTAAGTTTTGTGTATCCTCCTGACTCAATCTGGGTAAATCATATGACTTAAGAAATTTATAGATGTCTTCACTATCCTCTATTTTATTGGAGTATAAGGATTCAAAATAATTTCTGATTATCTTCTGTATTTCTGTGGTGTCTGTTGTGATATTGCCTTTTTCATCCCGTATGCTGGTAATTTGAGTTCTCTCTCTTCTTCTCTTCGTTAGCCTGGCTAAGGGTCTGTCGATCTTATTTATTTTTTCAAAGAACCAACTTTTAGTTTTGTCAATTTTTTCAATTGTTTCTTTTGTTTCAATTTCATTGATTTCAGCTCTGATTTTAATTATTTCTTATCTTCTACTACATTTGCTGTTGTTTCGCTCTTCTTTTTCTAGGGTTTTGAGATGAAGTGTGAGATCATTTATTTGTTGTTTTTTCTTTTTTTGCAGAATGAACTCCAAGCAATAAATTTTCCTCTTAAAACTGCTTTCATTGTGTCCCATAGATTCCGATATGTTGTGTCTGTGTTTTCATTTATCTCTAAGAATTTTTTGATTTTCTCCTTTATGTCTTCTGTAACCCATTGTTCATTCAGTAACATATTAATTCTCCAAGTGATGCAGGATTTTTCCTTCCTTCTTTTATTGTTGATTTCCAGTTTCATTCCATTATGATCGGATAGGCTGCATGGTATTATCTCCACTCCTTTATAATTTCTAAGAGTTGCCCTATGGCATAATACATGGTCTATTTTTGAGAAGGATCCATGTGCTGCTGAGAAAAAAGTATATTCGCTTGATGATGGTTGATATATTCTATATATGTTGGTTAAGTTTAGGTTATTGATTATGTTATTGAGTTCTATGTTTTCTTATTCAACTTTTGTTTGAAATATCTGTCCAATGGTGAGAGAGGTGTGTTGAAGTCACCCATAATTATTGTGTTGTGGTCTATTTGTCTCTTGAACTTGAGGAGAGTTTGTTTTATGAACATAGCTACGCCATTGTTTGGTGCATAAATATTGATAATTATTATATCTTGTTGGTTCCCTTTAACAGTATATAGTGTCCTTCTTTATCCCTTTTGATTAACTTAGGTTTGAAGTTGATTTTATTCGATATGAGTATGGCCACTCCTGCTTGCTTCCGAGGACCATGTGAGTGGTAAGATTTTTCCCAACCTTTCACCTTCAGCCTGTATGTGTTTTCCTATCGGATGAGTCTCCTGAAGGCAGCATATTGTTGGATCTGTTTTTTAATCCAGGTTACTAGCATATGACATTTAATTGGTGAGTTTAAGCCATTAACATTTAGAGTTACTATTGATATATGGTTTGTACTTCCAGACATGTTTGTTTATTTATTTATTTGTTTGTTTTGTTTTCCCTCTTTGATTATTTTTCCCCCTTTACTGAGTTACTTCACACTGTTGGTTTTGGATGTTGTTTTTCATTTCCTCTTCTTGTAATGTTTTGCCCAAAATGCTTTGCAGTGCTGCTTTTCTGGCTGTGAATTCTTTTAACTTTTGTTTATCATGAAAGATTTTAATTTCATTGTCAAACCTAAAGCTTAATTTTGCTGGATACAATATTCTTGGTTGGAATCCATTATTTTTCAGGGTTTTAAATACGTTGTTCCAGGATCTTCTCGCTTTCAGCGTTTGTGATGAAAAATCAGCCATTAACCTAATTGGTTTACCCCTGAATGTAATCTGCCTCCTTTCTCGTGTAGCTTTTAATATTCTCTCCTTGTTCTGTATGTTGGATATCTTCATAATAATGTGTCTTGGAGTTGGTCTATTATGGTTTTGTATGTTTGGGGTCCTGTAGGCTTCCAGGATTTGGCAATCCATTCCATTTTTCATGTCTGGAAAGTTTTCTAAAATTATTTCATTCAACAGTTGCTCATTCCTTTGGTTTGGACCTCTATACCTTCCTCTATCCCAATGACTCTTAAGTTTGTTTTTTTTATGACATCCCATATCTCTTGGATGTTTTGCTTGTGGTTTCTTACCAGCCTTTCTGTGTTGACTAGACTCTTTTAGAATTGATATAATTTGTCTTCATTATCTGATGTTCTGACTTCTACTTGATCTAGCCTACTTGTAATACTCTCATTTGAGTTTTTGATTTGGATTATGGTTTCCTGCATTTCTAGGATTATTGTTTGATTTTTTTAAAAATCTCTATCTCCTGGTAGAGTTGATTTTTTGCTTCTTGAATCTGTTTATGTAATTCATTTTCAAAGTATTCTTTCATTGTTTGGATTTTCTGTCTAATGACTTCTTTAAGATTCCATTCCATTTGAGTCAGGTATGCCTTGAGTTCTTTATCTGACCATTTTTCTGATGCCTCTAGGTTCTCCTGTAAATTTAAGCTGTCCTGCATTGTTTATAATCCTTTTTTCCCTTGTTTTTTCATGGTGCTCACATTACTTTCCAGCTCTGTTTGACTGCTGTGTTTCTGTTTTCTCCTATAAATTTGTTATGGTTTTGTATATCTTTGGGATCTCTCCTTTGAGATAGGAGACTATGTCTAGAGATGTTGGGCTTTATTGTAATTTAAAGCAAATTCATTCATTTCATAAAAGGCATATGGATTCTGAAGGCATATACCGATCTGCGGTTTGGTCTTTATGTTTAGGTAGGGTGCTGAGATGGTATGGCGGTTGGTATGTCTTAGCTACCTTGGAAAATTGCTCTACTGAAGGGGGATATTAACAGGCAAATGGACCAGGGTATTTGGTGGTGGCTAGGGACTTAGGAGCACTATATACAGCCTCCAAACATTCACCTATTTGCATTTAGAAAATTACACATAATGAAAGTCATAATGCTTGGGATGAAAGGTAGGGGAAGGGGAAGGAAGAAGTCCTTAAGGAGAAAGAGGGAGGAAAAAATAGGTAGAATAAAAATGGTAAGAAAAATAAAAATTGAAAAGAGAAAATAAGAAAAGTTAATTTTTTTTTTTAAAAGAATAAATGCAGTCTTAGAGTTCTATTTTCTTCTCTTCCAGTAGGTGGAGCTGTGCCCTCCAAGCCGAGCTTCTGCCCTCAATATGCAGGAAACAATCCCTGTGCGGTGGCTCTTCTTCCCCTACTAGGCGGCTCTCCAATCCTGGTCGCCCAGGGCTGTTTCCAGTCTCCAGCCCCTCCACCCCCTTCTCCTGCCAGCCAGGCCCCACTCACTGGTGACGTTCTCCACAGATGTAGTTACACTTGCAGCCCCCTGGGAACAACTGAGCACTCTCTCTGTTTGCCATTCACCCGGACCCCAGGGTTGTGAAGTCCATGATCTGGGGGCCGTCACCTTATTTTGCCTGGTCCCTTTCAGTAGCCATGCCCCCGGGAGCTGGTAGAAAAAGCCTCGGCTGTCGCTGCTGGTGGTAGGGGGAGTAGGAGGTCAGGTGTCCCCTCTGTTTCCCTGGGCTCCTACAATCATGCCCTCAGAGATCTGGGGATAGATTATTGAGATTTCCCAGCTGTATGTATCTGGTGGGGTGGGAGTCACACACCTGTTGAAGCTGATTTTGCTGGGAAGGGATCCCGACCACTGCCGAACTCTGGTGACATCAGCTCTCTGCTGTGGTGGACTCCCTTGCCAGGGTATCCGATGGGAGGGGTGGGTCTGGTCTGTCTCTGGTCTGTCCTGGCCTCAGTTCTCGGTCCGCCGTCACATGGAGGCTTGGTTAGCAACCTCTTCAAAGGGTCCAACTCTTTGTTTCTCTGCCGCTCGCAGTCTCTGGCAGTGCCAAGCACCTCCGTCTGTCTCTTGGCCACTTGCGGTCTCTGGCAATGCCGAAACACCTCGGTCTGCCTCCAGCTGACAGACAGTCAGCAAGCACCTCCATGCTGTGCTGGGTGGCCAAGATTCGCCCATGTCTGAGCAAGCTGCTGCCTCTGAGGAGCCCAAACTCCCCACCTAGGTCTCACTTCAGCCGAATTTTGCTGGGAGTTTCTCAGCAGGCAGAATCCAAATGTTCTGAGGTCTCTCTCTGTCCACTCAGCTGAGGAGATGAAGAGAGCGCTGCCTCGCCGCCTGCCTCCATGTTTTCACAAATAAAATTTTTTAAAAAAATAGGATTATGTTATCACCTACCTCTTGAAGTTTGTGTGAGCACTAAATAAATCCATGCAATGTCAATGCTAAGAACAGAGTAAGTGCCCAGAGAGGTTAGTGCACAGAGGTATTCATGCCACAAGGACACCTGCAAGTCCTTCCTGTTTGCTGGTAGCTTTACTCTCATCCAAATGGTCCTGAAGAGACCACTCATCTAATGACCATCTGAACTCTTCCTGCTACCCTCTCTGGGCCTTCGTTTCTCTCTTCTTTATCACATTCAGGACCCCATCTCTGAGGATGCCAGGGCAACCTTCCCAACCTCTCCGAGTCCCTTCTGCTCCTCCTTCAGGTGTATGGCTCCTTGTATTACATCAACCACGGAAATCCCTTCAACATGGAGGTGCTGGTGGGGTCCTGGCCAGAGAGTATCAGACAGTCATTATCAGACCTCAGAAACAGCTGGGCACACAGACCAGGGGGGTGGAACCACTCAGCTCCAAAGGGCATGAGGAACTTCCTTCGTCCAGACTCACAAGGCATGCATGTACAGCCAAAGAAAACTCAGGATACTTTGAAGACACTCCTTCAGAACCTGGTACCTCAGATGGGCTCTGCATCCCCTAAGCAAGAATGAAAGAGGAGAAGAAGGAGGAAAAGGCTGGCACTGGCAGATTAAAGGGCACATTGAGAGGGCAGGGGAGCCGTGAAGGTTGAAAGGAGGCTATTCTAGAATGATATCAGAAGAGTGACTTAGAACCAAAAACCAGGGCTGATATCTATTAATAAAAATTGCCTCTCAAGAGAGAAGGGGCTGATGATAACTTTTCATCAACTTTGTGGAAGCACTTTCCCTGTTAGTGAATGTCATCCTCAGAGAAACTTCAGGAAGTGAGCATTAAGACCTCAGATTTAGAAAGGATAAAACTACACTGAGAAATATTGAGTGATGCAGCTTTGAAGACCACACTCTAAAGTACTGTCTAACCTGAATTCAAATTAGATGGACTCTGCCCATTTTATTAGCTATGTGGCCATAGACACTTCTCTGAGCCTCGGTTATCACCTGTAAAGTGGGAATAATTCTCACTGTCTTTTTATGGTATTATTTAAATGTTAAATTAGATACTTTATATCAAAGATTTAGAACATGGCATATAATTTTAAATATCACTTGCCGTCGTTATTGGCTGAAGTCACACGAAGGTATGACTAAGCTGAAATGCAAACTGACATCTCTTACTTACCTCCAACTTAACCAACTTAACCAACTTAAGCAACTCAGTTGAATCATGGATGATTCACAACAGAAAATAAAGAAAACAATATATAAAATTTTCCAACAAGTTTAAAAGCTAACTTCCCTAAATCCATGGACATCTAGTGGTGAGCTAAAGCTACAGGGCCAGCCCTGCTTCACTGCAGGTGTACAAGCCAAGTCCCCAAATAGGAATAACCTAATCCAGGTCAAGACTAGTTTACAAATCGGGTGAAGACTGTGGTGCAGAAAGTAATAAAGTGGCCCTAACTTGAGGAATTAAGGAGTGTAGAGGTCAGCAACCAGGCCAGCCCAGACCCACTGTGTCTTCCTTCTAGACATTTTCCCTAAAGACGTTCATTTGATCCTGGCTTCCTGACAATTTGAGTTTGATTAACACATAGTTTATTAAGTTCCAGGTCTAATTTCTTCAAAGTTTGGTATACTAAATAATTGTAGATGATCAAGTATTTTTCTATTTCTGTAACTTTATAATTATTATGTGTATTTGAGCAATGTAATTATAGTATCAAACTCATGAATTCATATTTTAATTGTATTGAACAAGACTATATTATTAAATCAATAAATAAAAATATAGAGAGGCCATTGTGTGTGTGTGTGTGTGTGTGTGTATATATATATATATATATATATATATATATATATACATGCACACATATATATACATACATATATATGACAAGAATATGGAAAGATTGTGAAATAATGCAACTTACTATGAGATTCTTTTACCTAACCTATTTCCATAGTATACCATGACCCTTTTAGTATTAAAAGTCAATTCATTTTTTTTTTATTTTGATGTTTTATTTTTCATTGGAGCATATTCATCACACATGATGTTGAGTTTCATTGTGGTATACTTGTGCATAGATAAAAACATAATTTAATCACTTTCACTCTCTCAATACCTCCCCCATCCTGTTTTCCTCTGCCCTGGATCACCTTCCTCCAGTCTACTGATCTCTCTTCTAATTTCATGAAGTCCTTCTATTTTTTCCTCATTTTTCCTTGTAGCTACTACATATGAGAAAAAAAATTGTTATTTTTCTAAGTCTGATTTATTTCACTGAAAATTATGACTTATTTTATTTGACATTATGTTCCCCAGTTCCATCCATTTTCCTGTAAATGACATAATTTCATTCTTCTTTATGGCTGAATAAAATTCCACCATGTACAAATGCCACATTTTCTTCATACATTCATCAATTGACAGTCAACTATGTTGATTCCCCAACTTGGCTATTGTGCATCGTGCTGCAATAAGTATGGGTATGCATGTGTCTCTAAAATATGCTGACTTTAATTCTTTTGGATAGATACTTAGGAGTGGTATAGCTGGATCGTATGATAGTTCTGGTTTCAGCTTTGTAGGAACTTCCACACTGATTTCCCTAGTGGCTGTACTAATTTACATGCCATACATACATATATAACATAGTGTGAGAGTTCCTTCCCGCCCCCCCCCTTTCCTCACCAACATTTCTTGTTATTTATATTATTGATGCTTGCCATTCTGATCGAATGAAAAATAGAATAAAAATAAATAAATAAACAAATATCCATTCACTTTTGAATAAAAACTTTTAAGAGTGCAATGCAGGAAAATTTAACTAGAAAATATTTAATTTTTTTCTTTATGAAGTTTTAATCTCAAAAGTAATATGCACTGATAATGCAAGTGAAAAACTCCAGCTTTGTTCTAAAAAGTTAATAACCTTTTGTCTCCTTTCCCACACCCTTGAAGTGTCCTCGATCATAATAATGCACATGAGAGTATTTGCTACTTCTTCTTTTATAACTTTTTATTTTTCCTTTTACCCACTATAGACATCACTCCTGGCCCATCAATGAAGCACTAATGGATTCTTTTTAAAACTATATAGTATTGCAGTAAATGCACTGTAATGATGGAACCAGTCTCCCATTGTTGGTTTTGAAGTGCTCACAGCTCTTGCCTCTACAAGCAATGTTTCAATGAACACCCTATTTACAAGTCTTCACACCTGGAAAATTTTCTCACCTGATTGATTTCCATAAGGGGCATTATAAAAATAAAGAACACTTTTTTTTCCAAAGTTCTAGTAATCACTGTCAGATTACTTTCCCAAAATATTGCTGCACATTTTATTTCCATTAGAAGTAAATGGAAGAAACTTTCCCCCAACCCCCATCATCCTCAGCACTAAATGTTAACTTACACTAAACTCATGGATGATAAATGGTGTCTTATTGTACAACTGTTTGTTCATATCCTTTGACAATTTTTATACTGGGTTTTTGTGCCATTCTGTTGTTGTTGTTGTTCTCTTAGATATACATGACAGTTATATATAGAATGTATTTTGACATATTATACATACATACATGGAGTATAGCTTATTCTAATTAGGATCCCATTCTTGTGTTCTACATGATTTGTGTCATTCTTAAAATTATGTAAGAGTGTTTTAGGTATTAGGGATACTAGCATGAATGAGACACAGTACAATTTTTTTCCCAATTTATCATTATTTTATTTTATTAATGGATATTTTGACATGCATATTTTTTTAATTTTCTTTTCTTTTTTCATATTAGAGATTGAACCCAGGGGTGTTTTACCACTGAACTTCATCCCCAGCCCTTTTTATTTTTTACTTTAAGACAGGGTCTCGCTAAGTTGCTGAATCTAGCCCCAGACTTGTGATCCTCCTTCCTCAGTCTCCTGAATCATTAAGGAGACTTAATTTTCATAGAATTTAATTTTTCCAGCTACCCACCAACTACCTGTGGCAATTGGATTTGAATTGGATTAGCTTTCTTGAACAATTGTGGAAGGACTGATATTTGTGGGGTACTAAATCTTTTCGTGTAGAAACATGGTATTATCTAAATTTTCTCAGTTCGTGTTATATGCCATTTAGTAAAATTTTAGTGTTCTTCTTGGGCCATCCACGTGGCTCTCCATTCAATTACCCATAGGTATTTTGTGCTATTTGTTAATACTATTAAATTAGCTTTCTCTTTCAGACTATTATTATTTTGCTCTTGACTTCTATTTTTAGTTTTTTTTTTCCAAATATGCCACATGACTCTTTCAAATCCTGCTTGTGTGGGTTGCTGTTTTTTGTCGGGACCTCCTGGATTTTCTGAGCACATAATACCATAATTTATAAACAAAGATAATTTGTTACTTTTTTCCTAATATCTGTTTCAGCTGTTCAATTTCTTGCCATATTGCACAATGTACAATCAAACAAATTAGAATACCTAGTAACAATAGTAATGGCTTTATCATCCTCTCATTCTTGATTTGAATGAAACAGACATAATAACTTATATTTGAAAATATGCTTATTTCTTCCAAATGTTTCTTTTCTCACTACCCCCATTTTCTTGGGGCTCACATTTAAAATAAATACTGAATTTTACATTATTTGATTTTTTTTTCTTTTTGGCAATGTGTAGACTTATGTAACTTTTTCCTCTTGAATTTATTATACTGAGAGATCTTTTAATCTAAAGCATTCTTGCCTTCCTAAAGTAAACTTTATGTGTTCACAGTTATTATTCTTTTAACACACTATTAGACATTTTATTCATAATTTGTACATTGAAAATGATCAATAAATATTTTTGTTGTTTCTTTACCAGATTTGGGGTTAGGGATTTTTCCATCTGTTACCATGGTCTAGAACAAAAATTATGTGTTTATTTTTGGTATAGGTATAATTTAAAGAAGAATTAGTTTGATTCTGGCCACATTTTAAATGGTAAAACTTTTAATTTAATTTCCAATCTTTTCTGCTGGGGTTTTCTATTTCTTTGAAGGTCAAAGCAAAGGGTAGCATCTTTCCTAACAAGCATGTAACCCTCTATTATAATTCTTGTATTCCTTCCTCTGTCTCCTTTCTTATGGACTGTATCGTATGCTTTTCATTGCTGATATTGTTTTTAATTTTCCTCCTGTTTTGTTCTTTTTAAATTATCTTTTAGAATATCTATTATATTGAATATGAACTTTTGGTTGGGCCACATTCAGGAAACTGTATTTATACAGGAATTCTCATTTTCTTGATGGTTTCTTCAAAGTTAGTGACACAATTTTTTTTTTTTGGTACCAGGGATTGAATCCAGGGTTGCTTAACTCCCAAGCCACATCCCCAACCCTCAGTCTTTAGCCTTTTTAAAATATTTTATTAGAGACAGGGTCTCACTGAGTTTCCCAGGACCTCACTAAGTTGCTGAGGCTGGGTTTGAACTCACGATCCTCCTGCCTCAGCCTGGTTAGTCTCTGGGATTTCAGGCCCGAGCCACCACACCCAGCCTAGTTACACAGTTTTATGTCTCAGTCTTTAACAATATAATTTATAATAGAATATGTTCACTGCTAAAACTCATACCTATGGTTATTTCTCCTTAGGAACAGATATTCATCTTTCCATGAAATTTGTGGATTACTAGAATGAGATTACAAGTGCTTTTTTTTTTCAAGTTCATAAAAATAACACCACACCAAACTTCCCAGAGTGCTACAAAATAGTTCCAATTATTTTATTCCATTTTGCAGGCTTTGGGCTCTGAATTAAGTAGTACTATTCTAACAGGCTGATGTTCTGTAGCTTTGGGGAAATGCAGTGTCTCATTAATGCTTGTATCCATTAAAGCATCTTGCTTAAGCTCTACGCTGATTCTGGGCGTCTAGATTTCAATAAGAGAGAGATGAAGAAAAAGCACAAGGAATGATATGCTGTAACCTTCTGCCATCCCATTCAGGAGATGACTGAGGACACGGATCCATATACCAATGTGTACAGTATATTCTCCAAAGAGCCTCAAGAATTACAGGAAGTCCTGAAACATTGTGGGGTCATTAAGTAGAAACAGATGCTCCAGATCCAAGGTACCAAGTCGGAGGCAGTGACAGTGGTTCTCAAAGTGGGTCCCCAATCAGCCACGGCCAGCTTTCCCTGGGAGCTTATTAGAAGTGCAAATTCTCAGAAACCCTGAGGGCTGGGCAGCAGAACAGCAATTTGTGGTGTAGCGAGTGCTCCAGCTAAACTCAGCCCAAGCCCAAGAAGAACCAAAATTTGCATTGAGTTGTGAGTCAGGCAGGAGCAGCAGAAATGGAGAGCAGTGTCCATCAATGGCCGAGCTGCTCTTTCATCTTTCTTCCCAGGACGACAAGAAAACTTGGGGGAGGGGATAAAAGCCATTGCATTTTCAAAGTCAGTGAAAGGTGAACTACTCTAACTTACTCCTCTATTTTAAGACATCTGGAGCTCAACGCCTCCACCAAGAGTAAGCCTGGAGGCTGCTGTGAGGGCAGCCACCCAGAGGATGAGTCAGAGAGGCACAAAAACATGTTTTCTTTAGTGACTTTTTAAAAATTGATCCTTTTAGTTCCAGGTAACAGTAGGATTTATTTTGACATAATTATAAAAGCACCGACTCTACTTAGGTCTGATTCAGTATCCTGTATTTCCTTTCTCTCCCCTCTTCCCTCCCCACCACTCCATTCCTTTTTCTCTACTCTACTTTCTGCTATTGTTTTCCAATTTGCCTGTTTGTTTATTTGTTTTTGTGTCTTGTGGGTGTACCTGATGATGAGATTCACTGTGGTAAATTCATTTCTTTCTTTTTGGTTCTAGGGATTGAACGTAGGAACGCTTAACCATTGAGCCTCATCCCCAGCCTTTTTTTTATATTTATTTAGAGACAGGGTCTCACTTAGTTGCTTAGGTCCCCAGTAAGTGGCTGAGGCTGTCTTTGAACTCATAATCCTCTTGCCTCAGCCTCTTGAGCTGTTGGGATTATAGGCAGGTGCCACGGCACCCCACTTCCCTTTACTTTAGACTAGCTTCCACATACTCAAGCATTTGACCTTTGACCTTTGATTTTCTGAGTTGGGATTTTTTCACTTAGCATAATAGTTCTCCAATTCCATCCATTTACTGGCAAATGTCATTATGTCATTCTTCTTTATGGCTGAGTAATACTCCATTGGTGTGTGTGTGTGTGTGTGTGTCACATTTTCTTAATCCATTCATCATTTGAAGGGCACCTTTGATGGCTGTTGTGAATGTGCTACTATAAACACTGATATGACTGTGTCCCTGTAGTATGCTAATTTTAGATCCATATTTTGAATATATTCTGAGGAGTGGGATAGCTAGATAATATGGTGGTTCCAGTCCTAGTTTTTAGAGAAATCTCTTTACTGCTTTCCTGAGTGGTTGCACTTGTTTCCAGTCCCAACAACACTGTGTGAGTGTACCTTTTCCCCCACATTCTTGCCAATGCTTATCTCGCCAATTCTTGATCATTACCACTCTGATGGGAGTGAGATGAAATCTCAATGTAGTTTTAATTTGCATTTCCCTGATTGCTAGAGATATTGAATATTTTTTCACATATTTGTTGTCCTAGTGTGTTTCTTCTTTTGAGAAGGTCTTAGTTCTTTTGCCCATTTATTAATTGGGTTATTTGGAGGGCTTTGTGCTTTTTTTTTTTTAGTTCTTTATTAAGATTGTTCTTCCTTGTATATTTTTGTAATTCACGTGAATCAGTTTTGGAGTGAGAAGAGGTCTGGGAGTTCTGGAACATGTTGGTATCCGTAAATTATAGGAATGGATATGAAAGTCTGGGTTTGGGTTTTGTTTCCACTGACAGGATCCCAACTTTAAGTTTTCCCAACTGGATGTCTCTTGTTCTACACTGGTAGATGACAGCTGGGACATAGGACAGAATGAGAAGAGCCTACATTACATCCAGCACTGCATACAAACCTTGATAGCATTCTGTCTGCAAGGCCCAGAAGGGGGCCCAGTCACCTGGGTCACCATGGACCCCAGTTGTGAAGTGGGAATGGCCTACATACATAGATAGAGAAGCAACGGCAAACTGAGACCGCTGTTGGGATATTTCACAAAATATCTATGTCAGAGACCAGACCGGAGGAGGAAGCTAGACCCCCGCCCCGCACTAGTCCGGAGGAAGCCCATCAACCCTTAAAATCCATCAAAGAGGGCATGGCTACCAGCACAGTTCTGCGGCTGATCCAGGTACCTGGTTTCCAACTCCCCCACCCTTAGCTGCAATAACTCAAAATATTTCCCACAAGCTTTTGGGGGGTGTAGCTATCGACACAAAACAACAACTGTACAGGCACCTGGTTTTCAACTCAGAGACTAGAGTAGGGAGGATACAGGTGGAAGCTCAAGTCCTTTCACACTGGCTATACCCACCACCCTGAATACAGAGGCTCAAGCTAGGAATAGACAATGCCACCTACTGGAAGACAGGAAAACAGAGTTCTGAGAGACTCTTTTTTTCTCTCTTTTCTTCTCTCTCTTTCACAACCTCAACATATGTGAAACCAAGAACTGTGCATGAACAACCGAATCACCAAAATAATATAATATAGAGGAATTGCATATGCCCCACCTTCCCCCCATTTTTTTCCTTATTTCTTTCTTACTTTCTTTTTCCTTCTCTCTTTTTTCTCTTTTCTTCCTTGTTATTTTTTTCTTCATTCTTACTCCCTCTATCCCACTTTCAACCCCCTAACTTTTACTATCTATACATAGGGTAACTATCTAAATACAGATAGGAGGTTGAGTCTATACATTCTTCCATAAATTACCAGTCTATTGGTTAGAGTTCTCCAAAGTTGCTAAGTTAGTTTAACCTCATACCCTCACTCCTTTCCCTCTAAGTATAACATCCTTCGTCTGATATTGAGTTTTCTATAAGCCACCAGATATGGTATGCCTTTTATGAAACTAATGACTATATTTTTAAATAATAATTGAAACCAATATCTGTAGACTTAGATTCTAACTATAAATGTATTAATAATGAAAACTTGTTCTTAGATGACGTACTGTTGATATTGGGAACTGTTAACACTGTCTTTCTCTGCAAAATAGGGATTTTGGAGCTATACAAGAACAATATAAATATATAAGGGGGAAACCATTAACACAACAGTTTCACAAAGCTAGAAAGAAACGTGAGCAGTATGAAAAGACAAGGAAAGAAAGGACCACAAACAATGCAGGTCAATTCAACATTAGAAGAAGTAATATATGCAGCAGATGGAATGTCAGACAAAGAGTTCAGGATATACATGCTTCAGATGATCTGGAGTCTCAAGGAAGACATTGGACTGCAAATTCAGACAATAAAAGATCACTTTGACAATGAATTACATAAACAAATCTAAGAAGCAAAAGATCAACTCTACAGGGATATAGAGGATATAAAAAAAAAACAGAAATCCTGGAAATGCAGGAAACAATAAACAAATTAAAAACTCAAATGAGAGTATTACCAGCAGAGTAGAACACTTAGAAGATAGAACATCAGACAACAAAGACAAAGTTTTTCAACTTGAAAAGAACCCAGACAGCTCAGCGAGAATGTTAAGAAATCATGAGCAGAACATCCAAGAAATATGGGATAACATAAAGAGACCAAACTTAAGAGTTATTGGGATACAAGAGGGTATAGAGGTCCAAACCAAAGGAATGAGCAATCTCTTCAATGAAATAATACTAGAAAACTTCTCAGACTTAAAGATTGAATAAGAAACCCAAATACTAGAAGCTTACAGGATGCCGAATGTACAAAATCATAAGAGATCCACACCAAGACACATAATAATGAAGATGCTCAACACACAGAATAAGGAGAGAATCTTAAAAGCCACAAGAGAAAGGAAGCACATTACATTTAGGGGTAAACCAATCAGGATAACTGCTGATCTTTCAACACAGACTCTGAAAGCTAGAAGATCCTGGAACAACATATTTCAAATGCTGAAAGAAAATGGGTTCCAACCAAAAATCGTGTATCCAGTGAAATTAAGCTTCAGGATTGAAGATGAAATAAAAATATTCCACGATAAACAAAAGTTAAAAGAATTTGCAGCTAGAAAACCAGCTCTTCAAAACATCCTTGGCAAAACATTACAGGAAGAGGAAATGAAAAATAACGATGAAAACCAACAGCGGGAGGTAGGACAGTAAAGGAAAAACTAATCATAGAGGAAAAACAAATCATGTTAAGTAACATAAATAACCAAATATGGCTGGAAGTACAAACCATATCTCAATAGTAACCCTAAATGTTAATGGCTTAAATGCACCAATCAAAAGACATAGGCTAGTAGACTGGATTAAAAAAAAAGATCCAACAATATGCTGCCTACAGGAGACTCATCTGATAGGAAAAGACATACATAGACTGAAGGTGAAAGGTTGGGAAAAATCATACCACTCATATGGACCTCGGAAGCAAGCAGGGGTATCCATACTTGTATCAAATAAAATAGACTTCAAGCCAAAGTTAATCAAAAGGGATAAACAAGGACACTACATACTGCTCAAGGGAACCATACACCAACAAGACTTGATGATCATTAATATATATGCCCCAAACAATGGTGCAGCTAAGTTCATCAAACAAACACTTCTCAAGTTCAAGAGTCAAATAAACCACAACACAATAATCATGGGAGATTTTAACACACCTCTCTCACCACTGGACAGATCTTCCAAACAAAAGTTGAATAAAGAAACCATAGAGCTCAATAATACAATTCATATCTTAGACTTAATTGACATATACAGAATATACCATCCAACATCAAGCGGATAAACTTTTTTCTCAGCAGCACATGGATCCTTCTCAAAAATAGTCCATATATTATGTCACAGGGCAAATTTTAGCAAATACAAAGGAGTAGAGATACTATCATGCATTTTATCTGATCATAATGGAATGAAATTGGAAATCAATAATAAAATAAGAAAGAAAAAATCCTACATCACATAGAGAATAAACAATATGCTACTGAATGAACAAAGGGTTACAGAAGACGTCAAAGAGGAAATTAAAAAATTCTTAGAGGTAAATGAAAATTCAGACACAACATATCGACATCTCTGGGACACTATGAAAGAGGTACTAAGAGGAAAATTCATTTCATGAAGTTCATTCCTTAAAAGAAGGAAAAGCCAACAAATAAATGACCTCACACTACACCTCGAAGCCTTAGAAAAAGAAGAACAAATTAGCAGCAAATACAGTAGAAGGCAAGAAATAATTAAAATCAGAGCTGAAATCAATGAAACTGAAACAATCGAAAAAAATTGACAAAACTAAAAGTTGGTTCTTTGAAAAAATAAATAAGATTGATAGACCACTAGCCACGCTAACAAAGAGAAGAAGAGAGAGAACCCAAATTACTAGTTTACGGGATGAAAAAGGCAACATCGCAACAGACACTTCAGAAATACAGAAGATAATTAGAAATTATTTTGAAACCCTATACTCTAATAAAATAGAGGATAGTGAAGACATCGATAAATTCCTTAAGGCATATGAGCTACCCAGATTTAGTCAGGATGATATAAACAACCTAAACAGACCAATATCAAGTGAGGAAATAGAAGAAGCCATAAAAAGACTACCAACCAAGAAAAGCCCAGGACAGGACAGACATACAGCAGAGTTTTACAAGAACTTTAAAGAAGAAATAATACCATTACTCTTCAATCTATTTCAGGAGATAGAAAAAGAGGGAGTACTTCCAAATTCATTCTATGAGGCCAACATCACCCTGATTCCAAAACCAGATAAAGACACTTCAAAGAAAGAAAACTTCAGACCAATATCCCTAATGAATACAGATGCAAAAATCCTCAATAAAATTCTGGCAAATCGGATACAAAAACATAACAAAAAGATAGTGCACCATAACCAAGTGGGATTCATCCCTGGGATGCAAGGCTGGTTCAATATATGGAAATCATTAAATGTAACTCACCACATCAATAGACTTAAAGATAAGAACCATATGATCATCTCGATAGATGCTGAAAAAGCATTTGACAAAATACAGCATTGCTTTATGTTCAAAACTCTAGAAAAATTAGGGATAACAGGAAATTACCTCAACATGGTAAAAGCTATATATGCTAAGCCTCAGGCCAGCATCATTCTAAATGGAGAAAAATTGAAGGCATTCCCTTTAAAATCTGGAACAAGACAGGGATGCCCTCTCTCACCATTTCTATTCAACATAGTTCTTGAAACACTGGTCAGAGCAATTAGACAGACTAAAGAAATTAAAGGCATAAATATAGGAAAAGAAGAACTTAAATTAGCACTATTTGCTGATGACATGATCCTATACCTAGCAGACCCAAAAAGTTCAACCAAGAAACTTCTAGAACTAGTAAATGAATTCAGCAAAGTGGCAGGATATAAAATCAGTACCAATAAATCAAAGGCATTCCTACATATCAGTGACAAATTCTCTGAAATGGAAATGAGGACAACTTCTCCATTCACAATATCCTCAAAAAAAAAAAAATACCTGGGAATCAACCTAACAAAAGAGGTAAAGGACCTACACAATGAAAACTACAGAACCCTAAAGAGAGAAATAGAAGACCTTAGAGGATGGAAGGATTTACCTTGCTCATGGATTGGCAGAATTAATATGATTAAGATGGCCATATTACCAAAAGCACTTTACAGATTCAATACAATTCCCATCAAAATCCCAATGACATTCCTTGCAGGAATAGAAAAAGCAATCATGAAATTCATCTGGAAAAATAAGAGACCCAGAATAGCTAAAGTAATTCTAAGCAGGAAGAGTGAAATTGGTGGTATCGCAATTCCAGATATTAAATTATACTATAGAGCAATAGTAACAAAAACAGCATGGTACTGGTACCAAAATAGGCGGGTAGACCAATGGTACAGAATAGAGGACACAGAGACAAATCCACAAAATTACAACTACCTCATATTAGACAAAGGTGCAAAAACATGCAATGGAGAAAGAATAGCATTTTCAACAAATGGTGCTGGGAGAACTGGAAATCCATATGCAACAAAATGAAATTGAATCCCTTTCTCTCACCATGCACAAAAGTCAACTCAAAATGGATCAAGGAGCTAGGAATCAGACCAGAGACTCTGCGTCTAATAGAAGATAAAGTTGGCCCTAATCTTCATCATGTGGGGGAAGGCCCCAAATTTCTTAATAAGACACCTATAGCACAAGAGTTAAAACCAAGAATCAACAAATGGGACAAATTCAAACTAAAAAGTTTTTTTCTCAGCAAGAGAAATATTATGTGAGGTGAATAGGGAGCCTACATCCTGGGAACAAATTTTTACCCCTCAAACATCAGATAGAGCTCTAATCTCTAGAGTATACAAAGAACTCAAAAAGTTAAACAACAAAAAATCAAATAACCCAATCAACAAATGGGCCAAGGACTTGAACAGAAACTTCTCAGAAGAGGATATACAATCGATCAACAAATACACGAAAAAATGCTCACCATCTCTAGCAGTCAGAGAAATGCAAATTAAAACTACTCTAAGATACCATCTCACTCCATAAGAATGGCAGCCATTATGAAGTCAAACAACAATAAGTCCGGTGAGGATGTGGGGAAAAAGGTACACTCATACATTGCTGGTGGGACTGCAAATTGATGCAGCCAATTTGGAAAGCAGTATGGAGATTCCTTGAAACTCTGGGAATGGAACCACCATTTGACCCAGCTATTCCCCTTCTAGGACTATACCCAAAAGACCTAAAAAGAGCATACTACAGGGACACAGCCACGTCAATGTTTATAGCAGCACAATTCACAATAGCTAGAATGTGGAACCAACCTAGATGCCCTTCAATAGATGAATGGATTTAAAAAATGTGGCATTTATACACAATGGATATTACTCAGCACTAAAAAATAACAAGATCATGGCATTTGCAGGCAAAGGGATGGCATTAGAGCAGATTATGCTACGTGAAGTTAGCCAATCCCTAAAAAACAAATGCCGAATGTCTTCTCTGATATAAGAGGGGTGACTCAAAATGGGATAGGGAGGAAGAGCATGAGAAGAAGACTACCACTAAATAGGGAAGAGAAGTGGGAGGGAAAAAGAGGGAGAAGGGGAGTTGCATGGAAGATGGAAGGAGACCTCATTGTTATACAGAATACATGTATGATGTTGTGAGGAGAAAAAGAAAAAAAGAAGTGTATCACATTAGATTGGATAGAGAGAAAGGATGGGAGAGGAAGGAGGAGTAGGGGGGATAGGAAGGGAAGCAGAATAGAATGGACATTATGATTGATGTATGTACATTCCATGTATGTATTATATGTCAAAATACATTCTGCTGTCATGTATGACTAAAAAAATAAAAATAAATCATATGGTAAATATATATATATATATATATATATATATATATATATATATATACATACATACATATATACATCAGAAGAATATTCCATTCTACCTCTCTGTGCTGGGAGACAATGAAAAATCCTGCAGATCTCTGGAGAGGTCTGGTTTCTCTGTGGCCTCATGTGGGTGCCACCAATGGATCTGCTCCCCAGGGAAATAAGTTCCATTTGTTTAGACAATGAAGCTACTTAGCCATCATGGCCAAACTCTCCTTTAAAGTTGAAGCAGAAATCACCCAACAGCTTTCTTCACTCACAAGTGTTCACTGAACATTGAAGATGCGGTAGGAACCCTCTAACATGGAGGCAAAGTTGAAAGACATAACCGTGCTCTTGAAGTACTTAGAATCTGAGGCAGGGGTCAGTCTTTCACTCTTCTTGATAAGTGTGTTCCGAGAATCAAGGGTTATCAGTAAAACACATAGCTGGAAATCCAGGGCCAGTTCTCACCTCTGGGAACCAGAATGGTTTGTGAAACCTGACTGACTGAACCTGTGATCTGGAAGATGAATGAAGGAATTCAATAAAAAATATCCGTAGAACACACCTCCTCTGTATGGCCTGTCTGCCCTAAGTACTCCTTGTATTTATGGATGTAGGACTCACAGGTACACCAAAGAAGGGAGTCAGTGACTAGCCATGTGCGAAAGGTGAAAACCCAAACAATCGGCTGTCCTAGGCCAGCTTCCATCACTGCAATGCAGAAAAGGGAATCCAAGGGACTGAGTCCCAGGGACCAGGGACCACCGCTATGGAAATGGTGTTTGCTGTGCGGCTTGTCTCACACTCCCTGGTGTTGGGTAAGGTGTTTCCTGGGAGTCTGTTCATGAGTCCAGGCCTTGAGTTTGTACCACTGCTGTCTTAGGGGTCAGATCACAAATCAGGAGGGTTCCTGGGAGAAGGAGCCATTACAGAGAGGACTGGAGAGTGAGTAGGGGTGACCCTGACAAAGAAGCCATAGGGAGTTTCAGATGAAGGAAAGAACACACGCCAGGCACTACTTATTATAAGCACTTTATAATCAGAAATTGTATTACCGTATCAGAATCCCTGGTCTAAAAAAAAAAAAAAAATACTCCTCAGTGTGAAGAGCAGATGAGCCCTGGGTCATAGGCTGATCCTGCAGTGTCAGCAAAAGCCAAGCCTGGGAGACCTTCCTTGCCCCAAAGGCGAGGATGTTAACACCTTGACACTGGGCTCTGGCCTGGCACTATTATCAGTCGTTCCTGTACAATGGGCTTCCTGGGAGCAACAGGATAGTTGAAAAAAAATGTTTCTAGCTCTGCTAACTTTTTAGTTCACAAAGAAACCTCTTGATAGCTCACAAGCCTTGAACAACTTACAGTGCCCCTAGAGTTCAACTGCCTGATTATGAGACCCTATGTAATAAATTTGCAGAGATAGTTCTGGGTCACTGTTTCTCCATCAGTGTGCAGCGTCCCACCTCGTCCCAGCTTTGCTTTAAAATGTCTCTGTGTTTTCTTTGTCTCTGGTTTTTGTGTTTTTCTCCATCTCCTGTTGCCCCTACTCAATCCCTTGTGGAAGCTGCACGGGTCACAGCATCTCAGGAACAGCTCAGACCTAATAATGGACTCTTTTGGCCCTGCCTTGCCACTCTGCCCTATATGTAGCTGGACTCCTGTGGATACTACAGTTTAAAAACAAACAAACAAAAACTTTGAAATTTACATTCTTTCTAAAAATCCAGACAGATGTAGATACATTTTTTTTAAATAAAAAATGCTATCAGAATTGGCTTTGGGGGTAACCAGTGATTAACCAACCCTCATCTCTCCATAAAAAAAAAACAAACAAAAACTCCACAACATTTAATGTTTATATTTGATATGATTTTATGCCGCAGTCTGGCTGGGCACAATCAGGAGCCACTTGTCAAAAGAAACTAACTTTATTTTTAGAACCACACACGCCAAACAAAACAGCCTCTCAGGAAAAACCCTCAGAGCCCCAACTGCCACCACCGGCTTCCCACAAGCCTCTCTCTCCAACACAAGCCTCTCTCCACCTCCCACAATCCTCCTGCTCTTGAGGCAGATTGGCTGGGTCACATGGGCGGAGCCAAAAAAGTCCCCCAATGAGCAGCTCCATGGTCTGAAAGGGCAGGGAAACAGCCCAATGAGCATCACTGCAGAGGAGCCAATCAGCTAGATGTTGCTGGGGCCGCTGTGAGCCAATCATCAGCCGGCAGCTGGAAGTTTACTGGGGCCCCTTGGCTGTGGCTCTCAACAATTTCAAAATAAGTAATTTCAGCAACTGGATAATTATGTAAGTTAGTGAATTTGTTTTTGATACAAATTAATCATAGAAGGCTGAAGTAGATCTGTGACTCATACCTTGCTATGGATCAGTCCAGTCAGATTGTTAAACTCCCAAAACCTGGCAGATTGTTATATTGACTTATAAATGAAAGCCAGGTCTGAGGCAGAGAGGAAATATCACTTTGGTTTCTGAAGGATGAGTAAGACTTAGGGGGGAAAATTTGGAATGGTGTTATGTGAAAATAGCTTAAATGCTATATTTCAACTTTTTTAATTCAAGAGCAAACACAGATTTTGAAAAGAGAACACAAATAAAAGTTGCCTATTTCAAAATGGGTCCTCAAGCAGGTCCTATATCCAGAAGAGGACGGTCATCCAGGGTTTGGGGCTCCGCACAGTCCTGCTGGCAGCTCCCCGCTGGTCTATTGCCTGAGTACAGGATAGATTCCCCTGTCTAACCCTGGGGCAGCTCCATCAAGACAATGATTCTCAAACCTAATAATGTACCTGGATTGAAAAAACAATAGCAGTACTTGGGGGAAAAGTGGAGATATTTTTTAAATACAGTAAAAATAAATCAAAATTGTCAAGAATTACAATAAAAATGAATACAATAATTTTTCTATTAAAATGTCTACCTTTTATTTTTTATTAAAAACAAAGTCCAAATATCTAGATAGAAGAATAGAACTAAGAATAATTTTTCTTCTCTATGTTTCAAGTTTTCTGTAATAAGGTTATAATTACATTAACAACCAAGGAAAAATGTTTAAAGAAGAAATCATTGGAAAACTGATGAAATCCAAATAAGGTCTGTGAATTGGAAAAAAAAAATCTAAGAAGCGTGTATTAGTCTGCTCTGGCCTCCATGGAAAACCGTCTTAGACTGAATAACTTAAACAACAGAAATTTATTTCTCATTGTTCTGGAGCCTAGCAGGTCCAATATCAAGGTGGTAAGTAGCAAGGTAAGTTTCTTTTTTTTAATATTTTTTATTTCTTCTTTTTAGTTATTCATGACTGCACACCGATGGAGAAACATAGCATACATACATGGAATATGACATCCCATTATTGTGGTTGTACATGATGTGGAGTTAACTGGTCATGTAGTCCTCTATGAACATAGGAAAGTCATGTCCAACTTATTCTACTGTCTTTCCTATGTCCATCCTCTCCTCCCTTCCCCCATTCCCCCTGTCCAATCTGGTGAATCTCCCCTCCTTGAGTCAGCATTTGCATATCAAAGAGAACATTCTGCCTTTGGTTTGGCTCATTTCACTCAGCAGGATACCCTCCAGTTCCATCCATTTACCTGCAAATGCCATAATTACATTCTTCTTTATGGCTGAATAATATTTCTCTGTGTATCTGTACCACGTTTTCTTTACCCATTCATCTATTGAAGGACACCTAGATTGGTTCCATGGCATAGCTATTGTGAATTGAGCTGCTGTGAACATTGATGTGGCCACAGTAACTATGGTATGTTGATTTTAAGTCTTTTAGGTATAAGCCAAGGAGTGGGATAATTGGGTCAAATGGTGGTTCCATTCCAAGTGTTCTTAGGAATCTTCATTTTGCTTTCCAGAGTGGTTGCACCAATTTGCAGTCCCACCAGCAATGTAGGAGTGTACCTTTTCCCCCATATCCAACATTTATTGCTACTTATATTCTTGATAATTGCCATTCTGAGTGGAATGAGATGAAATCTCAGTGTGGTTTTGATTTGCATTTGTCCAATTACAAGTTGAACATTTTTTCATTTATTTGTTGACCATTCATGTTTCTTCTTCTATAAAGTGCCTGTTCATTTCTTTTGCCTATTTATTGATTGGGTTATTTGTTTTTCTTTGGTCTTAAGTTTTTTGAGTTGTTTATATATCCTGGAGATTTAAAAAAATTTTTTTTTCTTTAGCTGTAAATAGATACAATGCCTTTATTTTGTTTTTTTGTTTGTTGTTGTTTGTTTATTTGTTTGTATGTGGCGCTGGGGATGGAACCCAGTGCCTCACACATGCTAGGCAAGCATTCTACCACTGAGCCACAACCCTGGCCCCTATATCCTGGAGATTAATGCTCTATCTGAGGTGCAGGTGGCAAAGATTTTCTCCCATTCTGTAGGCTCTCTCTTCGTGTGCTGGATTGTTTCCCTTGCTGTGAAGAAGCTTTTTAGTTTGATAAAATTAATTGATTCTTGATTTTACTTATTGTGCTATAGGAGTCTTGTTGGGGAATTTGTTTCCTAAACTGACAAAATGGAGATTTTGACCTACTTTTTCTTCTAGTACGAAGACAGTCTCTGGTCTAATGCCTAAGTCTTGATTCGCTTAGAATTGAGTTTTGTGCAGAGTGAGAGATAGGGGTCTAATTTCATTTTTCTACATATGGATTTCAGTTTTCCCAGCACCATTTGTTTAAGCGGTTATCTTTTCTCCAATGTATGTTTATGGCATCTTTGTCTAGTATGAGATAACTGTATTTATATGGGTTTGTCTCTGTGTCTTCTATAATGTACCATTGGTCTTCATGTCTGTTCTGGTGCCAATACCATGTCATTTTTGTTACTATAGTTCTCTGGTATAATTTAAGGTCTGGTATTGTGATGCCTCCTGCTTCATTTTTCTTGCTGAAGATTGCTTTGGCTATTCTAGACCTCTTATTTTTCCAAATGAATTTCATGAGTGCTTTCTATGAAGAATGTCATCAGAACCTTAATAAAAATTTCATTATCTGCAAAGTGCTTTGGGTAGTATGGCCATTTTGACAATATTAATTCTGCCAAGAACATGGGAGATTATTCCATGTTCTAAGGTACAAGGTAGGTTTCTTTCTGAGATCTCTTCTCTCTGCTTGTATGTGTATGGTACTTTGCTGTGTTCT